AAACTAAAAAAAATGAAAATCAAAGGAATTGGACCTTGTTTTCCTTACCACTACTCTTTTAGATATTTAAGTCATTTCAATTCAATTAATTTTGACTTTTGTGAAATTGGACTATTTTTTTGGGACAAATTTTTTATTAAAATGTACTATTTTTGTGGGACGGATGGAGTATTATTTGGGAGAAAAACTACTTTCTTCTTATTTCTATATATTTCGATCAGTAAAAAGAAATGTACAAGGGTATTGTCCTATTTATACTGTACAACTAATCAATAACTACCTAACTATCTGGTATTTACAATAGTGGCCCTCTATGTTTACACACATGTACAAGCAGGCCCTTGACTATCAAAGACTATACGATCAATACAAATTGCAACTATCTATCAACAATCTTTACGGTGATGATGCTGGGTTAGAAGATTTCTCAATTGAAGAATCAGATGATAGTTTAGAGCTTTCCTACGGTTGCATGTATTGAGGTGACTATGTAAGTAACTCTTCAAAGTTAATAGAGGTCGGCTATTCCTATTCATTATCGAAAAAAAAGAGGAGTAGGGAAAGGAAAAAGGGTGGACTCACAAAGGGCAATCTAGAAAAATCACATATAATTCATTCGCCCTGAAGGCTAATTATTGCCCTGGCAATATCATCACCCATTAGTTAATTAGCTTCGCGAAAAAAATTGCTCAGACAAAGACGACGGAAGGAGAAAAGTTTGAGGGGAGGGGTGGGTTTGGAATTTTTCTTTATATGGTGAATGCAACAGGGGGATGGAATGGACATAGAGTTATTTATAACAAACACTGCTCAAAAAATAGGTATAGGATGAATCATGGGCAAGAGTATTGAGTGGGTTTGATGAGGAAAAACATATGCCCTTTAGTTTCGTACGTAGTGAAACGCGCTGGATTGCTTTATTTTATTCACCCAAATAAATAGACACGAGGGAAAATTTTTCTTTTGATCCAACAAAAAAAAAAGACTATAAATGAAACAATCTCCTTCCTTTTTGGTTCGATTTTCTTACCCCATATTGCTATCAATTTTGACAGGATACTAACTCATACTTTATTCAAATAGTTCTTTTAAAATAGGGGGTAAGGTAAACAACCCTTCATTTTCATTATAAAACAATTCACTCAATAACAATATAGAATTCATGGACAATTCTAGGCCTACTAAAAATTGAGATTAATCTTCTTTCAATAACAACATACGGATAAAAACAACAAACTATCTTTTAGGCCTATTGTGAAATGAGTGGAACAAAAGAACAAACCAAATGTACAACTCATTTTATGTCCCTAACTTCCACTGATGCCCCTTTTAGTTATTTCTATAAAAGTTAACTACATATGCATTTATATTACAACTTAAATTTGATCGAAATTTTTATCTAAAAAAATATTGACAATGAATCGTGATGAAAAGATTTCGTTACGTAGATTAATTTGATATATCACACATTTTTTAGTTATTCGTGTATTAAAAGATATAATCATTTGAAAAAATGGGAGAAAACTAAAAAAAATAAAAATCAAAGGAAGTGGACCTTGTTTTCCTTACCACTACTCTTTTAGATATTTAAGTCATTTCAATTCAATTAATTTTGACTTTTGTGAAATTGGACTATTTTTTTGGGACAAATTTTTTTATTAAACTGGACTATTTTTGTGGGACGGAAGGAGTATTATTTGGGAGAAAAACTGCTTTCTTCTTATTTCTGTATATTTCGATTAGTAAAAAGAAATGTACAAGGGTATTGTCCTATTTATACTGTACAACTAATCAGTAACTACCTAACTATCTGGTATTTACAATAGTGGCCCTCTATGTTTACACACATGTACAAGCATGTCCTTGACTATCAAAGACTATATCATGAATACAAACTGCATTTATCTATCAACAATCTTTACAGTGATGATGCTAGGTTAGAAGATTTCTCAATTGATGAATCAGATGATAGTTTAGAGCTTTCTTACAGTTGCATGTGTGGAGGTTACTATGTAATTAACTTTTCAAAGTTAATGAAGGTCGGCTATTCCTATTCATTATTGAAAAAAAAAAAAAAAAAGAGGAGTAGGGAAAGGAAAAAGGGTGGACTCACAAAGGGCAATCTAGGAAAATGACATATAATTCATTCGCCTTGAAGGCTAATATTGCCTTGGCAATATCATCACCCATTAGTTAATTAGCTTCGTGAAAAAAATTGCTCAGACAAATTAAGACGACGAGGAGAAAAGTTTGAGGGGGGTTTGGCATTTTTCTTTATATGGTGAATGCAACAGGGGGATGGAATGGACATAGAGTTATTTATAACAAACACTGCTCAAAAAATAGGTATGTGATGAATCATGGACAAGAGTATTGAGTGGGTTTCGCGAGGAAAAATATATGCCCTTTAGTTTCATATGTAGTTAAAGGCGCTGGATTGCTTTTTTTTTTTTATTGATTAATCTTCTTTCAGTAACAACATACGGATAAAAACAACAAACCATCTTTTAGACCTATTGAGAAATGAGTGGAACAAAAGAACAAACCGATATGATGCCAAGGGCCCAAGAATGAGTTTCAATCAAAAAGAGGACTCAATTAGTGAAGAAAAAATGGGTAGGAATTTGGAGAAAGCTTGTAAATAATTAATGTCGTTACATTATACATACTCAACTTCAATATCATCAATACAAGCCACCCATAACTAAAAGAATATTCAGTAAAAGATAATGCCATCATTTCTAAGCGAGAATTCCATCTCAAAATTACAGAAACTCCATTGCCTTTAAACAACAATTACAACTAAATCACAACTCTATCTAAAAGTAAGAATAGAATATCCATCATTTCTCAAGAACTTGGCCAGAAAATTACATAAATTCTATTGCTTTTAAACAACTACTCCATCAAAATGAAACCATGATAATACCATGTAAAAGTATTTGAATACGGAAACCAGTGCCCTCCCTGGTCTGGTTTTTACTTTTTAACATAAATCCTCGACCGCAGTTGGATCGCGAACTGGGACGGTTGAACTGGTTTTTTTTCATGTTTTGGAAAGAAAAAAACAAAATTAAGCTACTTTCATGTTATTAATACTAGGTGTTAGACCCGTCCGATGGACGGGGAGCACATATACATAAATATTACTACACAAACAAATTAAAAAAATGTTAATATTTGTATAGATTTTTGTATTTTTATAAAATATATAATGAATTCATTGAAAAATGTAAAACACAAACATCGACAACACTTTACCAAACGAATACACCGGTAATTTATTTAACGCAAAAAAGATTGTTTAGAAATTTAAAAAAATGAACTTTGAATTAAATAATTATATATTTTGTAATATTTCTTGGTAGACTACATTGGTAGTCAGGAATAGAAAGGTTGGCTAGGGTAATTAAGAGATTATGATAAGGAATTTTTATTTTTATTTTTGAAAAGGTTTATGATAAGGAATGGTTACTAAAAAAACAACAACCCTAACCTGTTGTAGAGGCCATCCAATTTTTTGATAAGAAAAATAAAAAAAAAAAGGGTTGGATATCCAAACCTTTTTCTAAAAATTTGGATTTCAAAACATTAAAATTGAAGGCTTTTAATATTTTTATTCTTTGCCATAACCATTCTTAGCCCCGTTACATCAACCTATCACCATAGTATTTTAACTCAATTCCATATTTGAAGCTAAATTATAGAAGTTTCAGGTTGATCTAACTTCTTTAATTATTTTAATAAATTATTAATATAAAATTTTTTTTCAGTTGCGTTTTTTTTTGGAGGAAGAGATCCGTCCATCGGATTTGTAGGGATTTGGTCGAATCAATATAGAGTTTGAATTTTTTCAGTTGCGTTTTCTTTTTGGTTTTTATTGTTTTATTTTGTGTATTTTTATATTTAGAAAATTAAAAATCTTATGTGGCATGTGCTCCTTGACTTTAGATTCCTCTCTCTGGTTTTTGCCTTAGTATAGTCTATAGATATAGATTATTATTTCTCTAGGCCCAAACAAACAAATAGTCTTTCAAATTTTCCAAAATTTCCTTTAATTCGAAATTACCGAATAATAACTTCATCTCCGAATTTTTTGAGTAGTTAATCACACACACACACACACATATATATATATATATATTTATATATAGTCCAATAAAATTGGTTGATATCATAAACTCAATCATGAAGACACAAAACGATAAAAAAAAAAAAAGAAGAAGGTACTTTTCAACATAAAAATGGTAGGTTATACCACGAATGTGAAGATTTCCATGTTTCCTTAACCAACTTGCATGCAATCTCACTGGGTGGTATTTAGGTAGGGATTTGATATTAATTTTTTAATATCTGTATTAGGAAGTCTTTTAGGTTTTAATTGTAACCATTTAATGCATTGGGTTTTTTTGTTCTAATTAGGAAGCATATAGGCCTTTTTTTTGGATTGTTGAGGGAGTCTTATATAAGGGTTTACCAACTTATTAGAAGAGTCAAGTTTACAAGAGTGGTTGAATACGATTATTGTTCACATGTGTCCTATGTCCTAGGGATTATTGTGAGGGGGGAGGGCTCTATAAAGTATCGTGGTAGGGGAGGACACTCAAAAAATAGAAGGCAGAAGGCACACTACCTTACAAGTTACAAATGGAAGATCTCTGCCAGAGACTGTTGCCAATTGAACTCCCCAAAAAATTGTCCGACCTAAGCAAAGGTAAATTTTCAAATGCTCTTACTTTCTTCTGCGAATATACATACTTCTTTCTTGCAACTTGTTTAGTGATTAATTTATTTGGAAAATTCCTATCAGAGGTCTTGTAGAGATTCAATTTCTTTATTGGGGGACGTACTTTGATGTGGATGATTTTTACTGACAACTTTATCCTTCCTTTAATTAAGGGGATGGATTTTTAAAGCCCTCAAATTTAGTACTCAAAGCCACCAAAAACAAAATTTGGACGATTTTGTCTCTGTCATTTAATACAGTAGAGAGAAAGAAAATGAGCCATTCAGAGGTAAAAATAAAAGAAACTTAAAAAAAATCCGAACCGGGCAAGAAAACCGTTCCGGTTGAACCGGAGACGCCCAACAAACGCGTCCGGCCATTGAACTGGATGCGTTCATTGCGCATCCCCGGTTCAACTGGGACGCGTGTGTTGCGCGTCCGGACCGGGTGAAATATACGCGTCCGGTTCAATGGCTGGACGTGTTAAACACGCGTCCCGGTTGAACCGGGGACGCGCAATACACGCGTCCGGTTTAATGGCCGGACGCGTTTGTTGCGTGTCCCCGGTTCAACCGGACGCGTGTGTTGCGCGTCCGGCCAGTGAACTGGTTTTTTTTTTTTTTTAATTTTAATTTCATGCATGTTATGTTAATTTAATTAGTTTAATTATATTTATTTATTACATGTTATGTTAATTTAATTAAGTAGGAATATTATTATTTTATGTGTTAATTTAATTAGTTATGTTAAGTAAATTAATTAGTTGAATTATATTTATTTATTGAAGGTTATGTTAATTTAATTAAGTAGGAATATTATTATTTTATTTGTTAATTTAATTAGTTATGTTAAGTAATGGAATTAGTTGAAATTAATTTATTTATTGCATGTTTTGTTAATTTAATTAAATAGGAATATTATTATTGTAGTTTTTAATTTAATTAGTTAATTTAAGTGATGTAATTAGTTGAATTTCTAGATAATATTATTTAGGGGGGAATTAAATAATTAAAGAATTTTGTGGAATAAGTATTTAATTAAGTATTGGAAATGCAATTAATTAAATATATAATTAATCGCTAAATTAATGAATTCTAGCTTTTTATGTAGATATTGGGAAATTTAATTTAGTAAATAATTAATCTATTTACTGTAAATATATGTGTTTTTATTATTTATTATAATTGTATATCTTTTTTAAATGAGTGGAATATGTGTTTAATTTAATTTATTATAATGCAGTTTTTTATTGTTGTAATTTTATGTTTAATTTGCAGGATTCTTTAGAAGATTTTGGTGGCGATGGTGAAGATTATAGGATATTGTTTGCTACAGATGAGGAATTTGCAAAAAAGGATGATGCTGTTGCTTGGGTGAAAGGCATGGGCATGGCAAATGATATGCTAATAAACGTAGTTTCTAGCAAGAAGAAGAATACTGTTCTGATGAGATGCTGTAAAGGGGGAAATGTGTCAGTTGATGATGGTGAATACTATGTCACATCAGATTCGAAGACACAAATCACTGGATGTAAATTTAAGTTATATGTGCACTTAGTGGATGGGAAGTGGCGCGTTCGAGTGTATCCTGGTGAGTTTGGAATGCATAACCACGAGCTATTTGACGAAGATCATCCTACGAGGCGCCTTAGCGATGGAGTGAAACAGCTTATAATTAATTAAAGATACTCAACTATTTTACAAAATATTTATATTAATTTAATTAATCATAAACTACTTTACACACAATTTAAATTAGCTTTACTAATCTACTATTACTTAAATTATAAATAATTTAATCAATTAAACTAATTAGGTAGTGAACTAATCTACTATTAATGAAATTAGTTTTTAATATTCAACTAATTTACATACTATTTAAATTAATTTAATCAATCAAAATGAGTAACTTTACTAATCTACTAATAATGAAATTAAAAATATAACCTAAATACTTTAATAACTAATTAAATTAATGAGTAAATCAATTAAACTAATTAGGTAGTGAACTAATCTACTATTAATTAAATTAGTTTTTAAAATTCAACTAATTTATATACTATTTAAATTAATTTAATCAATTCAAATGATTAACTTTACTAATCTACTAATAATTAAATTAAAAATATAACCTAAATACTTTAATACTTTAATAACTATTTAAATTAATGAGTAAATCAATCAAACTAATTAGTTAATGAACTAATCTACTATTAATCAAATTAAATTATTTACACAATTAAATTAAATAACCAATCTAAATCACAAATTATTAATTAATAAATAATTACTTAATAACCCTAATTACATTAAATCAAATATAATTAAACACTAACATTGAATTAAACAAATTAAAAAAAAAACATTCTGGCCGGCCGACAGCCATGGAAGCCGGCCGGCAGCGCGATTGGGACGCGTCCCTGTTCAACCCGGAACGAGAAAATCGCTCGTTCCGGATTGAACCGGGACGCGTTTCTCGCGCCGCCGGACACCTTCCATGGCCGTCTGGCGGTCACACAACATTAAAAAAAAAAAAAAATTTCCTTCCCACCGGACGTGCAAGGAAGCCGTTCGGCGGCACGACCGGGACGCACAAGCAACGCGTCCCGGTTCAACCCGGAACGGGCGTTTTGCTTGTTCTGGGTTGAACCGGGACGCGTTTCTTGCGCGTCCCGGTCGCGCCGCCGGACGGCTTCATTGCGCGTCCGGCGGCCAGAATGAGTTTTTTTTTTTTCTTACAATTTACAAATTTTTTTTTTTAAAAAAAACGTACCCGTGATGAGATCGGCTCTTTCCCGCTTTGATTCTTCCGTGTTGCCATCAACGGTGGATCAAATTAGACTTCAAATTTGGGTTTAGAAGGGAGGTGGTTTTAAGTTTTCTCTCTTTTTTCCTTTGGTGGAAGTTTGAAATGTGAGGGGCAAAATAGTCTAAAAATATTTACGGTGACTTTAAGTAGTAAAGATGGTGGCTTCAAAAGCTAACACCCATTAATTAAAGCTAGTGCAATAGAAGAGATAATAATTATAACGAAAAGGAAGGGTCAACATGTAAAGAGATATTATCAGAACTATATAGTTTGCCCTTCAAAGGAATTTAAAAACATGTATGTCTCAATCAGGAATTTTGATTTCTACAACACCCGTAATAGGAATTTTCCCTTAATTATTTATCTTAGTGTTTATGTCTTACTTCTTCTTGCATCCTAGCTCTTAGTTTAGTGATCAATTTATATCTTGTGCACGAGGATGTCATAATGTCTAATATTATGATTATTATTTTTTTTAGGAGAACAAAATTACTACAACACACAAATTTCCACCATAAAATCTATGGAGGACGTGGATGCATTGTTGGTGGAAGATGGTGTTGAAGAGAAAAACAATTTGGCTGAAACAAAGGACGAGACAGCCATTAACATATCTAATTACGTGAACATGGTGATACTCGCTGTGAAGGTAATCCATTTGAATTTTTTTTTTTTCAATAAATGGAAAATACTTTCTAAGAAGTGTACGTGAATATTTCCTTCTTATTATCATGGAAGGTTTTTTTTTTTTTTTTTTGTGTGTGTGAGATCGCGTGACACTTTTCGTTCAAGTTATCCAAGACTGTTGTTCATGCACGCACTCTTTTTTATCACTTGTGTTTCAGATGTACGCTACGATATTCAGCGGATCGTTGGGCATTGTTGCATCGACGATGGACTCGCTGTTTGATTTTGTCGCAGGATTGATCTTGTGGATTTGTCACCATTCACTGAAAAGTGTTGATTTTAACAAGTTTCCAGTCGGGAAATCTCGAGTGCAGCCTGTGGGGATTATTGTTTTTGCCACCGTGATGGCCACCATTGGTATGTATTTGCTAAATGAGTTCATTTATCATCGTCATCATGAATCTGTTGAATCATATTGACTCTTCTGTCCAGATTTTTTTATGTTTATTATCGTCATCATGAATGAATTATCTAGTGAATCAAATCTGTCTCAGGGACGAGGCCATATATATATATATATATATATATCCCATTATAGATTACTAAAAAATGAAGTTTTTTTTTTTTTTTTGTGTGTTTTTTTGTTTCAGGTTTTGGAGTGTTGGTTCAAGCTACCCAAGAAATACTTGAGGAGAACAAACACTCCGACAATTCGCCTCAAAATTTAGAGTTTTGGCTATACCCTATCATGCTCAGTGCGACGCTTTTAAAATTGGGACTATGGTTATATTGCAAAAACTCTAAAAACGAGATAGTTCAAGCATATGCAAAAGGTAAAATAAGGGGCTTTTTCTTTTTTTTTTTTTTGAGTCCTTTAACGTTAATTAGAGAATTAATGTAACTACGTAATTATGACTAGGACCATTATTTTGACGTGGTAAACAACATAGTTGGGCTTACCGCTGCAATTTTTGGTGAGAAAGTACTCTGGTGGATTGATCCAATTGGTGCCTCTTTACTAGCACTTTACACTATCATTAATTGGTCAAGGACTGTGCATGAAAATGCAGGTAATGCTGTGTATTCTTTTTGTTTCTTTTATGAATTTTTTATAAGACGAGACCCTTTTGTTTCTTCTGTTTTTCAGTTTTACTCATTGGGCAATCGGCAGAACCAGAATTGATTCGGAAATTGCTATATGTTGCCATAAAAGAACCTCGAGTGAAGAGAATTCAAACAGTCCGAGCATATACTTTCGGTGTGCAATACTTCGCTGAGGTTGGTTGTTTTCACCATCATTTGTTCTAAATACGCAAATATTTTGCGAAACTAATACTAGCATCAAAGAGAACAAAAATTAGCAATAATTTTTTTTTTTTTTTTTGAAAATGAGCCCATTTTTCATAAGTGAGAATTTTTGGAGCATTTGACATATTTTTTTATTTCGATAAAATATACTATCATCATTTGTCGGGATATATAGGTGTTTACTAATGTATTATTTCTAAGTTACTATCATTTTGTTAATTGTTGTTTTTTTTACCCTGTAAACCAGGTGGATGTGGAATTAGGTGAGGGATTGTCTGTTGGCATGGCTTGTGAAGCTGAGAAGAAACTTTCGAGGCAAATGGAAAGACTTCCAGAAATAGAACGGGCATGTGTCCGTTTAAGTTAAAATGGAAAACAAGTCCTTCCTATGTTATCCCTAGAATAAAATTATCAAGAATTTATAAATAATATTATTGATCTAGGATCTCTTTTATGTTGTTGTTGTAAATGTTTGAATAGCGTGGGATTCCTGTAATTCTTATGTTGTATTTGTATGTTGTTTGTAATTTCTGTAATCTTTTTGTTGTTGTTCGAATGCTGCTGAGAATGATGGACTTTTTAGATGGAGTTATGGTTTATTTTCTACCGTAATAGAGTTTCTACCATTTTTAGTTTACTTTGGTCTAAAAGCTTTTATAATCAAAACCCTAAAAGTGCTCTCGAATTCAAGGAGCAGCACTATAAGCACTCGATGCAACTCATTTTCCTCCACCTCTCACATCAGATGGAAGGCTCTTTATAATAAATAATAACAAGTTACTTACAACATAAGAGGTTGTTTTACATCAATCCTCATAGTTGGGAATGAGCAGTACATGCATACTTAATATTCTACTCCCTACAGCTTCCAACGAATCTACAGTTCGTCATGAATAATTTAACTACAAAAAGAAAACACTGCAGTAAATCTCGCCAACCAAGTAGGAATCCAGGATATGAACATAACCGTGGCCTGGTCCTGCTTTGTTTAATTTGGGTTGAAATAGAGGGGACTACTACAAAGTAACTTTATACACTAGAAGAAGAGTACAATCATTCATGATGTATTATCAAGCGTTCGTTTCTTAATTTTGATTTTAAACTTGTGAGATGAACTACTTTGTGTAGCATTTACACTACCTGCTGTATTCATTGCTAACTTCCGTCCACCTGGTTCGCCTGGCTTTGGTTGCCCACAGTCCGACGGTCCAGGATCACAACTCTTATTATACAATTCCTCTGAAGGAGCCTTTCGCTTCCCAACTTCTGTGCCCAACTTAGTTTCATCATCTATTGTTCTATTCCCGTGCTCCAAGGGACTAGCTTGAGCTTCCCTACTAGTTCTTGCCAATTCACGCTTGGGTTCCTGTTTCTTGACCTGGAATTTCAGAGACGGAGTCGCTCTGACTGGATCACCATTAGTTTCCTCTCTCTTACTCGGCACTAGCAAAGGAGATGCCTTTGCCTTGTCATGGAGCTTGGCAATCTCCTTTTCCCTACGCTTCTTCTCCTTCTTTAGTCTCTTCTTCTCCAAGTATTCTGGATCATTGTGGTGAGGTTTGTGTTCGTCACGCTTCCGTTTCTTATCTTTATCCTTTTTCTTGTCCCTCTCCTTGATAATTAACCCAGTCGGAGGTCCATCGATAGAGAGACGTGTCAAACTTGCATATTTACCCGTCCTCATTTCAGAGTAATCATCTGTCACGAAGCTGGTAGATGTGTGGTCTCCAGGCGGCAATAACTTCGATACTTTGCTTGAATCAGCTGTACACTGCAATTCTTTTCCTAGCTCATCACCGTCAGCTGCAAATTTGGCGCTGCCTATACTCGCTGTGACTCGGGAGCCACCGTCATGAAAAGAAGATACATCCTCAAGGTTCTGATTGCTCTGGCTAAACATTCTTTGAGGTGCATCAACAGATACTGAACTGCTTGCACCAGCCTCAGGAAGTCCATCTCGAGACTTATCCATATTAACAGTGTCCGGATCCTCTGCCCTACTAGATGCAGCAGAGTGTTTGACCCTAATCCGGAAAAGAGGCTTCTTGCGCTCAAGACCATTGGAAACTGTATTGGAAACAGTATCAGGCTCTTTGGAAGCTTCAACAGGGATCACATGACCTTGCAAAAGGTCTGAAGCTGGCTTCATTTTCTCCTGAATATCAGGCCTGGTCAGTCCTCCAGCAACATCTCTATTGATGATATGACCATCTAGTTTGTCAGCAACTTGCCCTGATATGTTGATATTTTCAAAACCACGTACATCTTTACAAGCTTCTGATTGGTCTATCGCTTGTTCTGATAAGTCACGCTTATCAGAGCAAGCATGCACTTCAACTTCCGGAAGAACTAAATCAGACTTTCCAAGTTCAGCCACTGGATTCAGCAGCTCACTACTCTTGGAAGCAGTATCAACTTCAGTTTTGACTTCAGGGATATCGGAACTATCATGTGCACCTACTCGATTTGTCTCAACAGGACCATTTGAAAAAAGCTCTGGTCCCTGGGAAACATCACATACAGGATCGAGGGGGATATTTGTCAAAATGTCTGGTTCTTGGGAAACCTGGGGATTTACTGGACCATCACAAGTAAGGTCAAGAGCATCTAAAGAGGGTTCAGGATGTTTGGCCTGTTTGACTAGATCAGCAAAAAGTGTTTTTAGTTCACTGCCAAAGGCATGCCCCTTTCTCAGTGTCGGATCCCTTGGCACCCCAAAGAGCGTTGGAGACCTGAAAAAGAACCAAATGTCAATGTGCTAGAGATGGTTACAGATACTACAGTACTTTCTCACTTATTGATATATGAGCATTGAAGGTGATGCAAGGCACACAGGAAATGTAATTAACTGTCAGCATGGAACATGTGTCAACAAAGAATACGCAAGAATCAGGCAATACGCACCTTCGGGAAAGTACTTGCAAGATGCAAAAAAGGTGATGTCGAAGAATAACATTGTTGAAAGCTAAAGGGCTCTCTAGCAATCTAAGGAAAGTAACAAGTGTAGCACTTTTTACTTCATTGTCAGGATCAGATCCAGTTCTCATCTGACATAGTCGCAAAGCATGTACACCCAACTTAACTTGCCCTGCAAAGACATAATCGGTATCTCATCCAAAATAAAAACAATCACCAGAAGGCTTTTGGAGGTCCACAATCAAGCAGATTAGCTCTGAAATTCTACGGCACATACCTCTTAAAGAATTCTCCTCACTCAAAAATTTTATGAACAACAATAATGCAGCATCAATTCCAGAGGACTGAAATTCAAGATCCAGGAGAGCTCTACTTGCTTCTACTCGAACATTCCATAGTGTATTATAGGTACGAAATGGTTCAATCAGTTTGATAACACGATCCTGCAACAATTGCAGCTTCCCCATGAGCAACACTTATTTTTTTAGTTAAGAGACAAAGTTGAACGGATATACTCACAAGAGGAACAAATTCTGAAAGCTTCATAGCAATTTGAGTCAATGAACGAATGCAACTGATGGTCAATACTCCATTATAGCTCGGCATCAATCTGTTATTTTTCAACATAATCAGGAGTAGGTAGTGGTGATAAAAAAATGTCAGAAGTCAAGCAAATAAATTACCTATCAAATTGCAAAAGCCGGTCGAGGCGCTTGAGAAGGGAGGACAGATAGACAATTGTCTGCCAGTTTCACAAAGAAAAAGTTACTCCACAGAAATGTATTCACTCTTCAAATTTGTTCAGCACACAAGACACTGAGAATATTATAACTAAATGATTATTGACAAAGAATAACTTGAACATGCAAACCACCAAAAATAAAAAAATAAAATAAAATAAAATAAAACCTACATCAAACCTGTAATATCGACAAACCAATGAATCAGTTTCTAACATGCAAACTGAATCAAAATTTCTATATCTAAGGTTAGTCCTATTATTAAGAACAGTGACAATTAAGCAGCTATCACCCAATGTGAAATAAGCAATCTAGATAATATGTTTTCTCAAACCCAGCTATTAACCAAGAACAACTACTACTACTTAGCCATTATCCCACTCTGTTAGACATGGCCCTTATAAACCTATTTAAGGCTGGCAATAAAATCAACATTGTGCCTTGCACTTATGGAATCGATAAAATTGTCTGTTGGGTGAAAAATGGTTTTGGTAGTAGAAGAAGATGATTCGGTCGTCCCATATTATGTGTAGCATTCAACCATCCGTTAAAAGTTGTACTAACAGTAGAAACAAAAATTGATTATTTGAACTATTCATTCTTTAAAAGTAAATCGACTAGACTTTTTTACAGGGTATCATGCTAAAAGTAAAACCATACAATATAGACCCTCCATTCAGGGTGACATATAGGATATCTTTAATCAAAAGAACGGTAAGAATCACACCTGTTGACCAAATTCAAGCTCGCCAACAGACTGCACCATTGCAGCAAGCCAGAAAACATCAGTGTAGGGATTCCCATTGTTGTCATTATACTGCAAAAGGATGACGTGAAGATTAAAAATATACAAAAATAAGTTATCAGGAGCACATTAAATGTAAAGAGGAATGACTCCTCCCAAACACCCCCACATTAGCAAAAATGAACTATATGCGCAAGAGAACACTATTCCGGAGCCAATGGAAAAAAACTCTTTTACAAGTTTTCAAATTATCCATATGCCAACTCCTTAATCTGCATGGTTTATGAGTATTCTGGACATATCTGCTATATTTATCCCATTCGACAACAGAAGTAAGGAAGCGTGTAGTTCCATATCGTAATACACATACTAAAAGTAAACAAATAACCCGATTTTCAAAGTTGAATAATTAAAACCCATAATTTGTCGTGTCCCAGATGGCCCCAGATTTATCATGACAATTTTGAGACAACATGGGCATGCCCAAATGAGTACAAGATGCTATTCCAAATGTAACCAGAAGCAGTTCACATTCATCATAAACGGACAGTAAATATCTTCATTTGCTAATTTAATTTGAAGTACCTTCAAAAGCTGCAAAATAAACTCAATAGCTTCCCTAGGACTTTTATTATCTGATGTCCTGACCGTAGCTACAGCTAATGGGATAGCCTGAAATTATGAAACCAAAAGTCAATGAACAATATAACAAGCATGATTCGGAATATGTAGAACACGGTCAACGAGCAAATTCATTTGACATGATCCATATTCATGCAACATTTTTGCAAAAAATATAGGGATAACTTCTTTTCAGCTGCATTTTAGAATATCTAAAGATAATCAACAAGAATAAACAAACAGATTACACTTTTCAAATCCAACAATGACCAGAAAGAAAAAAAAAAAGAAGGAATGGACGCTGAACAACTAATATATGCCAAAGAAATGGAAAAGAAGCTAGTGTATTGCTTTCAATTATATAGTAAAAAATTAGAAAAATAGTTTCTTGATTTTTTTCTTTCTTAACTTACTGAAATTTTATCACTACATTGCTTCTAATTTGAGAAACAATCCCAAAATCAAATGCAGAAAGAAGGATAAACGGCAGAACAGACAAATCAATATCCACACACCAAAGGGCATGTAAGCTGCTTTTTCTTTTTTAACAAAAACAATAAAAGGTGGAAATGGTCACAAGATCTCTTCCAGCTGTGCAAAATACATTTATGAACAAAATTCGGTTATGAATGTTGAGGAATAAAGATAAAAATCATGGTGTTTCTCCATTACGTAGAGAGAGTCTACATCATAGGCTGGAAAGGTTGCAACCAGACAATCACACAATGACATCCTACCTCATATCATTACCTCAAGTACAAAGTACTCCTGGAAATCATGAAAATCATTTGGTCTACAAAAAATAAAGAGCCAAGGATGAGATATGATTACCACAAAAGAGGAAAAAAAACAGAGGGAATTTGAGAGGCTCACTTGGGGAGACCAATATTGGGGTCAAACCTCCGACTTTTATAATATTTGATCAGATGGAGTAAGCCTGCCCAATCCGTTTCCTATCCATTATAAATAAAGAGCATAGTTACCAGATGCATACACGAAAGCCCTTCCATTAAGAGTGTACAAATCTAAACTAGTAGTACTCTATAACTTCTAAGATACCAAGAACTTGATCCTAAAACCGGACAGTACTCAATGAATCTGCACTAAGCCAAATGCCTTTATCGAACCCTGGGTTTCAAAACATGACATTTACTCAAGTAAAGACAAGCATACTTCAGTATCAGAATGAGGCTCATTCAAACTCATGGAAGAAATATTGCATTCATAACTGAACATCAATGCCAAAGTGCTTGAAATAGCTGAGCTGAGGCTAATCAGGCCACCATGCAGTGAATTTATGTTGTCATACAACGTTTGTATTCATACAATAAAAAAAACCATCACCAAGGCAACAACAATGCAAAAATCAGTGAACAGAAAGCAAATTCTGCAGCTTTAAATGAGTAAACATGAAATACAAGACTTTTATATTAGCTTTCAGTTCTTCGAAGAGTGTCATAGCCCATTGTATACCTCACATGCAGTATGAGCCAATGCAAATGCTGCCTCTATGCGGATTCTCCAGAAAGCCTTCAAAACACAATGTAGACACAAGAAATCAATCCAAACAGCATGAATATGAAGCAACAAAGATCTTTTGCTAATAGGTTTTATTTGTTTTTTTTTTAATAGGTAACACAGTAAAGGAAGGAAAGCACGAAGATAACCTTGGAGTCTGTCAGAAAGTTATTCAAAGCATTAACAACAGAGAATGATTTCTGCGGCAATGCCTCCAACATAGCTATAGCCTGTGATTGTGCAACAACATCTTTGTCCTTCTCTAGTTGATTAATCTGAGTATTAAATGCAAAATATCAACCATTGGAAAATATCAAACAGTAGAAGAGTAACATCTTTCAAGAGCAAAAGTTGGTAAAATATAAGAAAAAATCCCGTTTACCCCCAGGATCATTTGTTGCAACTATCAAATTTCACGAATAAATTTCATTTCGTGCTGTGTATTTACCGCCTTTGTGGACTAGTTATGTTGGAAAGTGAAAATGGGATGTAAAATGCAAGATAGAATGCCAGTCTGAAGCTCCATCCACAAAGTTTTCTTAATAATTAATATCAAGTACATGAATTGTCCTGAAAGCCTGAACCTTATTTTCCATACCAGATTCACCAAGCGGGAAAAAAAGAAGAAAACCCATAAAAAAGATAACCAGCAAATAATACCACAGTGATTACCATTTTAAAAATAGGGGTAGTAAAGCTTCATATGATAGATACAAGCTACAAAGGCCGTACAAACTAGGGGGATGAAACTTTGACAAGTCAATGACACCAGCGACTATCCAACCTCAGAAAGGAAACAAGTGAGGAAAAGGCAAACACAATCAAAATAAAACACTCGCATAAAGGGAAAATAAAAACAGAACTCATAGGACTCGTAGTGAACAAGTAGCCAAGTAATAGCAGTATAAACCTTGCACAAATACATATAAGGCATCATAGTGGCAGACAGAATGGCACATCTTCGTAGGCATAAAAATTTCAATCCTGTGCATAAATCATTCATTTCTAACCAAGAAAAAGAAGTAACTGGGTAAAGCAAGTGAACACACTTACCCACATCTGCACAGGCTGGTTGAAGTGTATTTCAGCTAGATACTCCATTTCTGGATCTGCCCTAAGCCACTGCAGTGGGGAATCAGAGCTGCAATATTACAAAGTAATAATCCTCAGACACAATACACAAAATATTAATTTTGACTTGTAGAAGAAATTCACGGGAAACCTGCAAAATTAACATACTTTGATCGTACTTCCAAAGCAGGCACATAGTCAGCATTATCATCAGAGCCATCGGGTTTAGAACCCTTTTTAGACTTTTGAAAACGTTTGGCAGCAAGTTTTGAGTGACACTGTACTTCCAGCAGCTGCCAAGATTCTCCAGACATTGGTAGCATGGGATGGTCATACATACCATCAAACTCATGTACTCGTATGCTCATCATCCCAGGCCATCCAACATCACCCTCCTGTTTTTCAGGATCAGGATTTCCATTAGATGGTGCAGAGCTTGCATCTGGTCTAGCTGTACATCCCCTAAGTACAGCCACCTCAACTATATTCTTCCTTTTGCTATATGAGAACCCCAACCTTCACAGGAACAACAGAATAACAAATATCAAGTAAGAGATATTAATAAAGCTAGTAATACCGAACATTGTTTGCTAAAAATTTAGACTTCAGGAAATGTACTTGAGCACTGGACAGCCACAAGATCCAACCCAACGAGGAAAGAATTCCTTGAGAAAAGGGCGTTCAAGGTTTCCAACTTTATTCGCAAAATGTCGAAACTGCAACAGAAAAGCATATTTTTAAAAACTAGAAAACTATCCACAATAATGATGAAGGTACAAAAGGATCATGAAGATCAAACAAAGAATACTTTCTCTAGTGGTAAACAGCAGCTTGGAAGGACTGCTAACTAGTGTACCTGAGTAGGAAGTTCATAAATTACCACTGAAGATAAACTGAGAACACCCCCAAAAAAAAAGAAAAAAAAAGAGAAGAATATAGAGGCAGAAGGATCACTGAAGAAAGAGCCGTATGTAAAAGGGACAATTAGTAACATGTGAAGAATTTACAAATTGCAAGTACCTCTTTAGTACTGAGAGTTCTCAAGGGCCGACTCGTATCCTGAGCTCGAGAGATAACTATCTGAAGAATCTGCAAGCAACAAGGTTTTAGTGTAAACACAAATTTTCAAAGATGTCAAAGATAAACCATTTAACAATGGAGTCAGATCTTCATACATGCATAAATTCACATGCTTAACTAAATTCAGTTAGATACGTGTTAAAAAAACTATCAAAGGTGCTGGAAGAAGGGGGGTTTGGTGAAGTATACTTGTCAATTACTATTTTCCAACTCCATCTCATTCATTTCACAACAGAGACAATCTTACATCTTGATAAGTTAGTTATTTACACAAATGGACTATGAGAGAAAGAATACATGAACCTTCATTTACCCAAAATCTAATCAAAAGCAAGGTTTTTCACCTTTCCTAGGATTAGTTGCCAGACAGTATTCCCCTTTCCCAACATCACAGGAACTAGATGATGTGCTGAAAGGACTTTTAAATAGACAAAAGCTGTGTTACTTGATGCCAACAAACTAACAAACAACACTCCAGCAAAATACTACGAATATCATCACTATTAACACAACCCCAAGAGTGAATTTATTTTAATGTTGTCGGCATTCTTACTTTTCGAAAATGCTCCGGACCCATTTGCTTTTCCAGCATTTGGAGGATTGCAACCTTCGGCAAAATGATACATATTGTCAAGATAAATATGAACCAAAAGTCTCATAAAATAACCAAGAAATAGATTTAATTCTCGGGGGAATGGCTTACAGATTTCCAAGATCTTATCTTTCCATAGAAACCAATGCATTCGGTTCCATATAGATCTTTTGAAGAAGCAGAAGAGCACAAGGCAGTGGCACCGCTATCATCCGCCCCACAGACTGCACAATTTGCCTGCACTCATGAAAAATAAATAGATTAAAGTGAGCATAGCCTAACTAGAACTACAGGTCATGCTGACCAACCAGTCTCTCATTGCCCCAAAGTGGTCAGCTATATAAGTTGATTTCAACTCTTATTCAGCTAAGTTTTAGAACCTATTATTTATATCCTCTTCACTCGTAGGCATAGCATGCAACAAAGATATATCTGTTATTAAAATACCCTAACAAAAAGTATACGTGGGATTTCTTACATTTATAGGAATAACCATTCCTTTTACATTTCCACAGAGATTAGAACAGACATAATCATAATTAAGGAGCAAACCTTATATCTTCTGTATAGCGCTTCATTGTTTCCAAGAGATCTTTTGATAAATGAATCAGTCAAAAACCCAGCAAGACCATCCAACAACCAATCTGAAAGTGAGCAGAAACCAACCATTACTGATGGAGCTCTCATTATTTACGATAGGTTTCAATTATCAACGACTTACCATCATTGGGTGCTTCAGACGTAATGTATACACCAAACCACTGCCTTGCGAGCGCAGAAGCAAGCTTAATCCTCGTGCTAATAGTCTGTTCAGAATTACAACCCAATTAATGATATGGGCGATAAAAGAGATACAAGCTATGAACAAATATTCAAATCACACAATCAAGATGGCAATACCAAATGACAATGTTGACTAACAGACCGATCACAACAAATCCAACAGAAAGATCAGGCAAGAGTTTCGACTTTAAAATCAAACAATATGAAGTTGAACTTTATGTCCAAAACATCATTAAAACTGAAGTCAATTAAAACTCCTGATAGAATAAAACCATAGACGAGATTCTTGTCAATTAAACAGATGCTTCTCAGGTACTTTTAATAGCTTCTCTTAAGCTAAAACGATGATAAAACAGCTACTACAATATCTTAATAAAGCAAGCGAACTAATTTTCAGAGCACCGCAACAGGTTAGTAATGCTAAAGCTCTAATTTTTTTATTTCAAAATCTAGATGACATTCCCAAATTGCTTTCCACTATCACAAACAGCAGTGAAACACCATAAACTCAGATTATCAAAGAAAAACTGCATACCAAAATCCGTAGTTCTACTGCTTCCCTAGAGCAATCATCTCACATGTCAAAACCAGATAGTAGCATTTTTTCATGTGAACAGGCTGAACTTAAAATACTCATCTGATACTACCATACCTGATCAATAACTTTATCATCAAACAGGACATTTGAGCTGAAGATGCTCACTGCAGCCCCCAAACTCAATGAAGATATTGCCATCTCAGGACTGATAAAAACTTGTGTATAGCATCCAAAAGGAAATGATGCAGAAAGATATTCCTCATAGTAGCTGTTTCAAGTAAAGTTAATTATCACATTAGGTCTCATAAAAAAAAGCAAAATACATTTTAAAGCCAGGATGTTCAACATCTTAACGCGACGAAGGAAACAAACCTAAAAGCATTGTGGAAAAAGGCAACAGAATTCTGAAGCTTTGACAAGTTAGTTGATAGACACATGTGAGACAGCATTGCATTGTGCTGATCAGGAACAATTTCAAAAGGTGCTACTGCGAAAGATATAAATCGTGGGGCGACAGGAATACTTAATCTGTAAACAAATGTTTTACGTGGGGGATCTTCGTTGCTCAAAACCTGTCAATTCAGAAACAATATAGAGTAAGAAGAGAAGCAGTAAACTTATAAACACAAAAAGATTTTTTTTTTTAAAAAAAAAAAAAACTAAAAATAACATTAAAAAATCAGACATCCAAATTTCAAAAGTGGAGGGAAAAATGCACATCGTAGAAGTAACCATCACTGTATGAAAAAAAGGAAAGAAATTTATGTTTTACTTCACAATAAATGTGTTGTTTTCTAAATTAATAAGGTTCAAAAAGTTCCAGATTCAATTTGAACAGGGGTGGATGTCCTTCTAGATTTATTGATACACTCAGTGAACAGAATTATCGAGTAAAATACTAAGAATTTTTCCAACGGAATCTCGGGGTCTTTATTATGAGTAAAGTGCCGTATTTGCCCTTCAACTTTGCAAAAGAGAAAACTTCTACCCTTTCTTGATAAACAGTGATCCTGTGTTCTTAACATTTCGATTTTAAACCTTTTTATCATTACCTCAAAAACTGTTGATTATCCCAAAAAAACTTTGAATCATTTGTATGCATCTTCAAAAGAATATATATGTAGGGAAAAGAAAAAGTTCTATGCGTTTTTGGATGGTGATTTAACACTTTGTAAGAAAATGGTAAAAAGATTAAAGCACAATGCCAAGAGCGCAAAAGCATTGTTTTTTGTTTTATAAAGAGTTAAAAGTTCATTTTTGGGCAAATGTAAAGGACAGATAGGACAATTTAATCGCATTACATTTCAGTTTTGTGAACAAGTCAAGATTCAAAATTCAACAAAATGATTGTCATTGTAATAAATCAATGCACACATTTGCTTTTAGACTTGGGTATATCATGTCTTCTTCAACAGTTCCTTTTTCAAACCTCAAGTTTTCGCCTCTTCTTATTTGAGTCAACGATTTCCTGATTTCCTATTTTACTTTCAACTAAAAGGCATCTAAAATTCTCCTAAGGATTAGTTAAACATACGATCTTGAGCTTCTTCCTCTCATTTTCTCAACTAATTCCGCCATCTTCCTTCATTTCTAATGAATTACTAGACTAGTCATAAACTTTTCAAGTGATTACTTTATGATCAACATTTAAAGGGTACATGTCTCCATCTGTTCCAACCAACCTGAATCTCAGGCATAAAACCATACCATGCCACTATTTTTCTTTTTATCTATCGACTCATCTATATACATGCATTCAAAAAAACGGAACTTTTCTAGGCACGTCTTCAATTGTACTTTATCATTGTCTCCATTAGGCCTAGCAAAGTATAATGACAATGAAAACAGAGAACCTCCCTCTTTAAAAAAAACATTTTTCCAAGTAATTTCACATAAATTTCACATATTAGAACATTCTTCCATAGAACAGAAATGAACTTACCTGATAAAGTAAAGTTCCAGTGCTGACTGCCACAAAATCATGAGCCACAGTAAATTCCATATCAAAGCTGCACAAGAATCACATGAAGTACTTTAGGACGAAGCTATTCAGCATATATTTTAAAGAAATACCAAATAAAACAAAACTAACCTGCACAGCTGCAAATTGTCATCCATGCAAGGGAACCAACACCGGGCGCGCCTGATCTGGTTATCAGTATGCAGAACATTATCATCAAAGTGAATTCCCGTTTCTGCCTTCTCCACCCAGTATTCAATCCTAACAACCTTCGCATTCTGCACCCAACATAACCTACATGAGATTGCATGCGACTTAAGAGCAGACTGAAGAAGATCAAGATACAACGACAGAATACAGTTAAATAGCCAGCTATAAACCAGGTAACAAAGAGAAAAGCATAAAAAACCATTGCTCAACATAGTTGCCAATCGTCATATTCATGTAAGAGCAGGCAACAAACATAGCTCTCAACAATTGGATAATATCCATTTTTAAGTTGGTAATTTGAGGAAACCACAAACCTGTAATATATCAATAGCCGTGCTGTTTTGATTTTAGATTTATACATTTTTAAAAGCAATAAAGATTATACGGTCATTTCTATGAAGATAAGAAAATTTTCATTTAATAATCCCCAAATCAAGTAAGAAAATCAAACATGTCCAAAAGTACTCTCCACTCCCTTAGTCAGCATCTTAAAATACAAATGACTAACTGGAGTAAAGAAGAAGGAAATAATCTTATGTGCATCCCTGTTGGCATGTGTTGGCAAGAACATTAGCTCAGAAAGCAAATCATGTAAACTAGAAAGAAATACAACATGTTAAAAGTTCAAACAAACTGAAACCACATAGGCTGCAGGAAACATAAAATGATAATCAGTTGATCATCCCATACTGAATAGACTCAAGATACAGAACAACGCCAAAAACCTGAGTACTTTCTGTTGATGTTTGTACTTCACTCTCTAAATCCGCTTGACCGTGTTGTTCGGTATCTGACTTTGAAGATTTGCTGCACATTATGAGCAAATTAGGGGCCAATTCCCTCTCAAGAGATGACAGATAAACATAACCAGCAGCATCAGCAGCTGATGTTGTTGTTGAAACAGCGGACCATCTATCACCACGGGCCAAATCAAAATATTGAGGGAAAACTTCAAACTGAGCAGGCTCTCCATCAACTGTTACACTATCGATCGCCAAATTATCTGCATGCAAACCCACAATCCCATTCTCTGGTGCAATTATTTCAAGCTCAGTGTACCTGAAACAGACAAACCGCACTTTAGAACTTATTTTTAGAGTCCTATACAGACAACATTAAAGATAATTTGAAAAACCATGCCAAAGCTTCTCCTGCTGTGGTGTAATAAACTGGAAGTCCACAGACAGAATGCACATCATTAAACACAAATTCAAATTATGCTCATCAAACAGGGAAAGGGCAAACCATGTTAACAGATAGTTAGAATCTGCCATTCAATAGTAAGTTTAAAATATGAGGGCTGAATACATCTAACCCCAAGTTGTCCATTACAAATTGCAACAGACTAGACTGAACGTTGGACCAGCGAAAATATTTCAACATCACCTTTGAACAGAAACTGCTAGCGGTTCCGAAATGAACTTCATATCTCAGCTAATGAATCCTAGATAAACCCCACAAAGGAAAGGAAAAATGCAATGATTTTCAAGTAATCTTGAATTTTAGTTGCAACTATCCTAAAATTTTAAACTGTTCCATTAGGCAAGGATAATTGGGACTTGAATTTTCAGGGATGGGAAAAGCGAGATGAAGAAGTTGTGCGCCTAAATTGTGTTTCACTCTACAGTCATTATCACTTTATTTCAAGGAATTCAGGTGCACTATATAACTTTCGTTTAGCAATCAAGTGACAGCTGCTAACATCTCCAAGTCTTAGCTCAATGGGTGTAACTTTAAGTGGTTAACCCAGTAATGTACAACAAAACAATTCTAGCAATCACGTATCTTTATTCATTTCGAGCTAGTTTCAATCCATGCAATCATCCCCCTCCCACACCCCAAAATATCTTAAAACACACAATCACACAATCAAGCTAACGACTTTATTTTAAAACCTAAAACTACCCGCGCTCCACAATAGCTAGCAGAGTAAAGCTTCAATTGCCATAACTAAATTCAGTGGCAATACTAATTAAACCGAGACAATTCCCACCAATTACAACAATTCCCAAACTAGTCTCCCTGACAGCTCCAAAACTCAATCACTCTCTAAATATCCACGGCTACTTTTCCTCAGAACATGGGAAACACACTTTCGAACTCAAAAAAAAGAAAAAAGAAAAAAGGTTCCAATCGTAAGGTGTAGAAAATTTGCAATTGGAAGAGAAAAAAGTACCCGTAAATTCGACGCTTCTCCATATCAATCGATAAACAGAGCTTCTGATGCTTAACAACGGCCTCAGAATTATCAGCTTTCTGCTCTTCATTCTTCGACTTCCGAGGCTTCGCCATTAGAGCATTTATTTAATTATCGGTAATATAATTTCTCCGCATAAAGAACTCCCAAGAATTTTGTTCATTCAGTGCCGTAAAATCCAAAATTTTGACCGATGAGGGGAAAAAAAAAAAAAAAACAAAAAGATGGAAAGAGAAAGAGTAACAGTGAATTTCAATGTAACTTTGGCTCGCTGAAGATGGAGTTTTTATAGAGAGAAAAGGGGTGCTTTTATAGAGGAAGAACAATGGAATCAGAGGCGTGGTTTCTCTGTGTTGTAGATCAGCGTGGAGATCTAGAGCCCTAGGTCCGCGATTTAATCTGAACCGTCGAATCGTCTGATCTGATTGGCTGGACGGTTAGATTCTCCGACTAGATTTTTAATGGATTGTGTGGAATTACAAAATAAAATTGCTTTCCTTTTCTTTTTTAATTTAAATTGCCACCTTCTAGACTAAATTATCTTACAGTCCCTAAAGTTTTATTTAATATCATTATGGCGACAAAACGATTGTGAATTCGGTCAAATTATGAATAGTAGAAGTACTTACATTATTTTGCCTTAATAAATATTGACTTTCATTATTTCAATTACGTTAACAACCAAAGTAGTTTTTTCTACATGCTTTGCATGTTTAATACAGAAGTAGCACCCATAAACATAACGCATACGAGTATTTCTATGATTCTAGTTACGTGATTTTTGTATATATATCGTTACTTTATATTGATTTTTCTTATCATAAATGACCAAATATAAATTAATTCATATCTTTCGGCATAACTAAAGTTCTTATTTGAGAATCATGTGTTCAATTTTAAGTTTCTATAGCAAATAATACTAATTTTCATTATCGTAATATGTTCAGTAAAATAATAAATCTTATTTAATTGGTCAAGTTTTAGATATTTATGGTGATTACATCAATAATGGGAAAATTTTAAATTTATCATATCTTTTTCATAAAATGTCCACACAATTTATCTCGTGTGATTCTTAAGTTTATATAAATTATTTATAAACACAAAACATTGGATATTACTACAATGATTGAATTACTTACTAATGGAACTTTAAGAGTGAACCAATACTAACTCTTTTATATTTCCGTAAAACTTTGTATATATATATATATTCCTTTTTAGGTATCTGTACAACTTTATGTATTTGTTCTCTCATTTATGTTTCCGTACAATCTTGTATATTTCTAATAGAAAAAAGAAAACACTCACGATCACATAGCTAAGCCAAACTTATAGGTTTCCTCTTGATTAAGTAGAAAACTAAAATAAAATAAAATTATACAATTCATAACGAAACAAGTAACATGTTTCATTTAAGGGAAATTTTCATGGTTTGACTGAAAGGTGATAAAAGATTGGGGGTGTACTGTAATAATGAAAGAATCCATCTTATAAGATTGGGGAAAAAAACGTAATACTTTCTTCCATTTCACCCAGAGAGAAGAGAACAGAGCAGAGCAGAACCAAAACCCCCCAAATCCTCGATCTCTTTCAACTGTGTTCTAACTATCAATGAATTATTGGAATATATAACCATCTTGAGTTCTGAGGAACCCAAATTAAATGGATAAAATCAGCATTGAGCCGTTTAATCGGTAAGAATTTTCATTTTTTCAAATGTGTTTTTGTTGATCAAGAATCAATTGTTTGCTGACGGGCCGTAAATCATGTTTACGGGGATAAATTAAAGTATTTCTGTAAGTTCGAAAAATCACTCATTCAAGATTTCTAAGTTTTGAATGTGTTTTACTTCATTGGATATAGATTGGTGAAGCTCGCAGCTAGGGCTTTTTACGACGATGATATAACTACAAAAGGGGAGAATCAGCCCAAGATTGGAAGGAGTGACAATCGAGGAATTGCAGTGGTGGTTTTGGATGCACTGACAAGGTTCTTTTCTTTACAGAAAACTTTCCTTCAAGTTGTTTATGATGAAAGAGATATGGATGCATGCAACTAGTTTTAAGGAACTTTGATATATTCATCATGTTTGGATGTTTGCATTTGGATAAGAGTATGCATAGTGCAGCTATAGAAGAAGAAGAATCAGGGTGGAAAATTTGTTCTTTAGTTAACCAAAGAAAGAAACCAAAAGATAGTTAAACTGTTCTTAAGGAGTTTATTAGGATTTTTTTTTTCTTTGGGGGGGGGGTAGGGGTTGTTATTCCTTTTATGGTATCGGAGGTTATGTTCCTTTTTGCTTCTTTTTGGGGTGTTCGTATGAAGTCTGGAATGATATTGTTGTTGTATCGCGAAAAGCTTCAAACTAACCAAAAACATAAACAATGGGTATTATATATACTGGTGCATAGTGTTCTTGTACAGTACACAATATAACATTATCCAAAATGGATTGATTATAATTTATACTGGAGAATGTAAGTTTGTAGGGCTATGCACATCAGGAAGATTTAGATTAAATCTTGCATTTTGGAATTGGCCATTGGATTTCTGGGGTTAGAATCTATTGATGCGGGTTTCTACGAGTGTTGCATTTCAGATTTGAAGTTATAGTTTTTTTCTCATTCTGGAATCCTTTTCGGAATCTTTTTTGTGGGATCATTATGATGATCTCTAAGGTTTTGTTAGATGCCTTCAAGGATTGTCCTTCATTCTACTGCAGGAGGCAATGGGTAAGGGAAGAAGATCTAGCAAAGGTCCTGAAATTGCATTCCAAGCAACTACGCCGTACTTTGAGGTTCCTTGAAGAAGAAAAAATGATTACACGAGATCATCGGAAAGAGGTTGGATATCTAGTTTGTATCTTGCTGAAGCTTCATCCATTTGTCTGTTGATTGGGTGGTTGTTCATGTATTTGTTTGTTTTTGTTTTGTCATGCTTCAATTTTTTTTTTAAGTTTCAAGTGACACTATTCCGGCAGTACATTTTTCCTCACTACTGTGCTTTAGGTGCCAGAGTTCCCTTATCTAGAACAGGCATATGTCGGAAGTCCATTTCCTCAAAGCCTTTTCCTAATTCCTAATTTATAATTTGCAAGAGAGTTTGCACACGAGAAACTAATATGCTGTGGCTCTGTTGAAGATGTTCAGCAAAAGATAATGGATTTTATTGTTTGGATTTTTCATGATTGATGGATGCTAATGTTCTTTGGTATGTGTGTCAGTTAAGAAATTGCATATGCTAGTGCACCATAGTCATTGAGCTTGCTTTTCATCATTACAGACAGCAAAGGGTGTAAAGATATACAATGCCGCCGTGGCAGCAACAGCTGATGGTCGTCACTCGGGTAGAGAAGGAGATGATAAAATTAAGTTGCATACCCACTCCTATTGCTGTTTGGATTATGCTCAGGTTCAGCTTCTTTCCATGTCTCCGTCTTAGAGGAAGGTCCTGTCTACTGACAAATATACTGCATTATATGTGTTTTTATTGACTTTCAAGAAAACATATATATATATATATATATATATATATATCAACCATTTTAAGTAACTATGGATATATTTCTGGATGATATGATTTGTTTTTTTTTTTTAATAAAATTAGTAGGTAGAATGTGTTGGTTTCTTCCATTTAGTGGATGTGAAAGATGACATTTCTTATAACAAAAAATTTTAGTTGAATATGGATATTAAGATGAGTGATCTCTTGCAGATATATGATGTTGTGAGGTACAGGCTTCATCGCATGAGAAAAATGCTAAAGGATGAACTAGACAACAAGAACACTGTTCAAGAATATTCATGTCCAAATTGCCGCAGGAGGTTCTTTCTCTTACATTTCTTGATGCTTTATTATTATTAGACTTCGTGATGGGCTAGGTGATGAATGTGATTTTGTTCGAATCCAGATATACAGCATTGGATGCATGTCGGTTGGTTTCTATGGAAGATGACTATTTCCATTGCGAAAATTGCAATGGAGAACTTGTAGCAGAGAGTGAAAAACTAACTGCTCAAGAAGTGGGGGATAGAGATGATAATGCAAGGAGAGGACGGCGTGACAAGTTGGAGGCCATGCTCAAGAAGATGGAGGTTTGTCTTCATTGCAGTTGGAGATGCTAATGTTCAACTTTATTTTGCATTTTGGAAATTGAGAAACAATCGTATGCCATTACATTTAGCGTAAGAATCTTGAAAAGAATATCACCATTCTAGTTCTCTCATCTCTGTATTTTGACTGTAGATTACAATAGGGAAAGGGAACATTAAAGCACCACCAATAGCTGTTCCATGATATCTTAAGCCACAGTTTGGATTCGACCATCATATAGAATTAGTGTAAAGAAAGTGCACTTTTTGCCTCAATGGCCTCACCTTTCCTGGACTGCACACGCCGTAGTTTCTGTGATCAAGTTGCCCTTTTTAAGAGCAGGAATTTAGTGTTCTGTTTGTTGGTCTATTCAGTGAAGCATGCACAGCCATGATTTTCTACGCCATCGACATAACTTTTTGCTCAATGCTTATGATGTTTTACTAAACATACATTCTCTGTGTCATTGATTGTTGTGCGACTTTCATCTATGCGTTAGTATGAATACACTAAGGTAGTTGGTTCTTTATGAAAGGCTGCAATCTACTTTACATTGTGGTGGATCTTACCATGATGTCCGACTTATGGTTGCTAAATCACTCAAATCTGAAGAACTTTTACCCCTTTTACAATATATATTTGTTGATCATTTACATGTGCATTTGGAATACAGGCACAACTGAAGCCATTGACAGATCAACTCAACAGAGTAAAAGATTTGCCTGTTCCTGAGTTCGGAACCCTCTTAGCATGGGAAGCTCAAGCAAATACTGCAAGAGCAAATAGGGATCTTAATGGAGATGATCCTTCTAAATCTTCACCTTTTCTCGGTCCGACACCTATGCCAAACCTGGAAGACACAAAGGTCATTTTTGCTGAATATTTGCTTCTTTACAATTTTTTGTATGAATAACAGTTCAAAGAGATTTAGTTTTGTGGCTTCCTTATGAAGCTTTACTCAGCATGTGATCATTCACATGTTATTCTTTGTATTATTTTTCTTGAATGTATGTATGAATCACTCCTACGTGGGTGGACAATGGCAGGTCGAAGTTAATATCGATGAAGCTATTAAATCTGAGACAAGTACACCTATGAAAGTGTTGCCCCCTTGGATGATAAGAGAAGGCATGGTTCTTACTAAGGAACAACGTGGAGAGGTTAAGGAAGAGGCTATGGCAGATAGTACGAAAACAAGTGTAAAATTATCTGATGACAAGAAGTCTACAACTGAAAACAATGATGTAAAAAGCTATCAGGTCAGAAAATGAATCTGCTGACGTTTATTTCTGTTTTTTTCTGATTATGAAGTTCCAGATTTTCTATTTTGGCTCTTATTTAATACAGCTTTCTTGCTTTTGCAGGATGAGTATCTCAAAGCTTATTATGAAGCCATGCTTAAAAGGCAACGTGAACAAGAAGCTGCGAACCGAGATGCGGAATTTCCAGTTTCTGATGTTTCTAATGGTGCTTCTAGTACAACTGAAAGACAAGTGGGAATGAAATCTAAACGTGACGAGGAAGATGACGGAGATGATGTTGAATGGGAGGAGGCTGCTCCTGCTGGTAACATATATTACTGATTCTGATGAAAATTTTTGGTGGCTTTGAGATTTAAGCTTTTGAAATGAATCTATTCGAAATACTAAAAAAGTGAATGCTGAGATAGTTGCGGTTCAAAATTGTTCACATGGTTAAGAGCTAGATAAACATAACAGGAGTCCTTCACGATGCTGGCTGCTTTTGATATTAAATGGTGGTAGTTGATATTCTTTTTCAATCATCATTAAGAAATGTAGCTTAGGCTTTAAATTTTTCTTTTTCCATTTTCTCTGATATATTTGGTATAATGTTGAGGTTATGTATCTGTTTAGCAGTCTTACATTTTGGGATCAGTTCTTTCATGGAAACTTAGCTTGTTTTACATCTCAACTGCACTGGAATCAAAACTTTGATCCCTGAAAGTTTTATTTATTTTGCAGAACGTAACTTATGTGTGCATGATTCGTTTCGAGTACCCTTTCATTAACATTGTTGTCCAGGAACAGATAAATTGAGCCCTCAGGGTGGATCAGTGATATTTTTTCCTTTCTTTTATGTTTTTGGACGTTATCTCTTTCTATCTTTTTATTATTTTGTCTTTGGGTAAAGGGTTATCAAATTATCAATCTTGTAGAGCCGGATTTTTAAGGTTGCCACTGTCAAATGAGATCATCTTGTGTTGTTTTCAGGCACTGCGAACGGACAGTTCAAGGTTAATGATTTGAATGTGGAAGCGGATGCTTTGGTGGATGATGATAACAATGATGACGACGACGACGGTTTAGATTGGGAGGAAGGCTGATAGAAGAACTGCCGTGTTAATGAATTTTGGGGCATATTCGGTCATCCGTTGCTTCACCCTTGGCTAATGGGGTTTCAATCTGGTGGACATTGTGCGTCTCATGCACACTTTTGTATCTAAGAATATCACTTTTGTTTTTTTTTGGTTGAGCAAAAACCAAACTGTATATTCGGATGAGGTACTTTTGTGTGAGAGAACAGAATTTTAACTACCAGCCAGTCTGCCATTGCCATTATTTATGATCTCAACTGTCTTGACATCAATCTAGTTTTTCTTTTTCTTTTTTTCTATACTTATAAATGCAAATTTTGTCAATCGTTTGTATTTGTAAGATGGATAATGTTCAAAAGGGTAAGGTGAATCCACCTATGGAAATGCTTATAACTGAAAGAGGCGGTAGTTAGTGGCTACTATTGACGGTCCCCTTTTGCCCAATATAAAACGTCAGACAAATCATAGTTCAATTTGGTCCGACTTCCTTGACCTCTCATCCGACATCACCGGCAACACGCCACCTTCTTCTTCACGGCCATTCTTTCTCAGATTCGATATCGGCGATTTTTTCTGGAGGGCTGACCAGAAAAATAAAAAATTACTAGGGGGGTTTTCTGATAATCGTTGATGCGTAATTATCCTCGGATTGGAAATGATTCTGTATTTTTGTTGCTGAAAGTCTATCAATCTTGAATTCTCTATCCCACCAATATCGGAGAAACGCCAATCAGAACCCCAAAAAGAAGAAAAAGAACGACCATGAATTCCCGCTTGACATCAACCCTCTTGACGCGCTCCCTCAAATCCAGAAGATTCTTCTCAACCCTGAGTTCTTCGTCACCCCCGGAGCCCTCCCCCAAATTCACCCAAACTTTAGAAGGTCTCAGACAGCGGCTGGCAGCTGATTCACCGACCCTATCCGATTTCGTGAGGCTGCAGGATGAAGGTGAGTATTCTGTGGAAGTTGGTACCAAGAAGAAGCCATTGCCGAAGCCAAAATGGATGAAGGAATCCATCCCGGGTGGGGACAAGTATATCCAAATTAAGAAAGTTTTGAGGGGGTCGAAACTTCATACTGTTTGTGAAGAGGCCAAATGTCCTAATATAGCGGAGTGTTGGTCTGGTGGTGAGACAGGTACTGCCACAGCTACGATCATGATTCTTGGTGATACTTGCACTCGAGGATGCAGGTGAGAATCGCCTTTTTCTGGGTTGTTCTTATATTGTTTCATGAGTTTTGATTACTACTAGTATTTTAGTATTCATTTTTATGCAAATGTTATATACCTTTGGAAATTTCATCCCCCTTGAGTGAATGTCTCTACTGGTTGTTCATTCTTAAAGTTGATGGTTTTGGTTAGTGTTGATTTCTTTATGGATATTGAGTCCCTTACTAGGTTGAAGCACAACGGTTAGGGGCGTGAAATATTGCTATATGCGGTCTTCAAACTAATAGTAGGTTGAACAAGTAGGTGAATGTTTAAAACAGAGCTTGAACTCAGTCTCATTAGTTTAAAGCTATGGCTAAATTTATTGTTTTTTGTTTGCAAAACTTGAATCTTTTAAATCTTTTAACACCTCATAAAATCTCCCTTCTCATAATGCTTTCAGATTTTGCAATGTGAAGACCTCTCGTGCTCCGCCTCCTCCTGATCCAAATGAACCCACTAAAGTGGCTGAGGCAATTGCCTCGTGGGGTTTGGATTATGTTGTTATTACCAGTGTTGACCGCGATGATTTACCTGATCAAGGAAGTGTTCATTTTGCGGAAACTGTACAGAAGCTGAAGATACTGAAGCCAAAAATGCTCATAGAAGCTCTAGGTATGAATGCTTGTGGCATTTAATGTATTTTATGTTGGCCTAGATGTTGGAATTTTGGGATCTTCTCAATTAATGAAAGTTCATCATGAATCAAGACCTATCTTTGATTGAATGCAGTCCTAAATGCTGCAACTGACAGGATAATTGTAATTGCATGCTCTAGTGTTTCCGGGAATATTAATGTAAGGTGTTTTTGAAGCTTTGAAGGATCACTGTTGCATAGGGACAGAGCTTCATTTGGACATTATGCCTTACCAATGTGATAAAAATAGTTTGAGAATTTGAGGTTGTAGATTGATTTTCTGCTATTCAAACCATGACAGGAATGTACTCTCCCCCACATCTTAACTGGTCAACTGGTTAGCAGTTCCTTATTTTGAACTTTTTGCCTTCCTGTCTTTGTTTTGCAGTTCCAGACTTTAGAGGAGATCACAGCTGTGTGGAGAAAGTAGCAACATCTGGACTAGATGTTTTTGCTCACAATATTGAAACTGTCGAAGAGCTTCAGCATGTAGTACGAGATCGTCGTGCCAATTTTGAGCAATCATTGGATGTTCTTGTGAAAGCTAAGGAATATGCCCCTGCTGGTACATTGACCAAAACATCAATAATGTTAGGGTGTGGAGAAACACCTGACCAAGTGGTAAAAACAATGGAGAAGGTTAGGGCAGCAGGTGTTGATGTGATGACATTTGGTCAGTATATGCAACCTTCCAAGCGTCACATGCGTGTATCTGAGTTTATTACTCCGGAAGCCTTTGAGAAATACCGAGTTCTCGGTATGGATATGGTATGTCTGGTCATTAACAAATATCCTTTGAACTATTTTCTGATCCCTATAAACTTGCAAAAGAGATTATAACTGTAAAAATTTTGTTTTGAGTGATGAATAGGTTGAGAAATTGAAGCGTGTAGCATGCAACCCGTTTTTTTTTTTTTTTTCCCTGTTTTATTTGTTTCCCGTGGAACTTTTATACATCGATGATCGATAGTACAAGTCGGGAATTCTGGGAAAGATAACATATTCAAGAAATCTTCTATTTGCTACTAGAAGTTAGTAACATAATGTTGTTTCTACCAATTATATGTTGCAAGGAAAATCCTATTCTTACAGAAGATATTGATGTTATGTCTTTACTTGAGACATAAATTTGAATGTGCCAGCACTCAAATGCTTGGATAGTTTTGTTTGAATTCTTTTCCAACTATCAACTTTGTCTTAGGTAATTTGGAGCAATAACTTGGAGCTATGTCTTCTTCGGACCTTTATGACAAACTACTTGATCTGCAATGTTAATATTGTTTCATTTATCAATATGGGTTGTCAAAGAGTTATTCTTGGGACCTTTGTCTTCTTTGATTGCAATTATTGTCCTGTGTTGTTGAGATCAGTGAACTTGATAGTTGGGTATCTATGTCTTTAAGTTTGTGGACTTGGATGTATGGAAGTTGAAGCTGTTGAACTCATTTTGCCCAGAATCAAATACAGTAATGGATGGGGGCGTAATATTCAACTTGACATGGTTTATTGGATTTGTTGTGTCTATTACTCTCTTACACTTTTCTGACTGTTGCAACTTTCATCAGGGTTTCAGATATGTGGCATCTGGTCCAATGGTTAGGTCCTCTTACAAAGCGGGGGAATTCTATATCAAATCCATGATTGAGAAAGATCGTGCTGCATCAGCTGTATGAACATGCACTATGTCCAGCTTGCTGGATTCTTTCTCATTGATTTTTCTATTCAATTAGGAGGATAAGAACATGTAATTTTAGTAGCCAAACGTACTGCCTGCCTGTATCTGTGCAGCCAAAGGTTCCTTAATTAATTGAATTCTCGATGCTCTTGTATTCCAGAACTGGCTTCAGTCTACTAGCTGGAGTTCCAATTGCTGATGCTTTCATGTGAATATTTTTCTTTTATCTTATGAAAATTTTCACGTAGCATATTTTTTCCTTTTGTAATCCTTAAGGAAATTCCTGAATTGATTCTTGCCTGTAATGAAGATGAGATGTGACTGTTGAACATACTGACTGGTTGGAAATTTACTGTTTTCGCCTGTTTTGGAAATGTACCTTCTGAAGAATACATTTTGGACAAGAATGAAAGTCACTGTCCTCTACTTCCCCTTTGCAACTGATTTTCTTGCCAAAATTGAACATTTAACCACTTTCATTTTGGTTAAGTGGGTTTGATTTTGTCAAATTGGCAAAGCAAATCAAAGGGGGGTAATGTGAGAATTAGCATATGTACTACTCTATTTCAAAGGGACATTGCTATTTTCACCAATCAAGAAGGCCAGGACAATTGACAAAGAAAGTGACAACAATGACAACAACATTGTGTTAACAATATTTCCAAGGCGATAATTGTACAAAATAAAATAACATTGCCCACGATAATATGCCAAAAGGATGAAGACAACGAAAATAACATAAGGCAGAACATTTGAGTTTGTAACCATTGTTGTAATCTAATCAACTTTGGACTAATTCTGCATCTATTTGTAACTTAGCAGAAGCACTGAAAGCAACATCTAACTGTTTCTGAGAAAACATCGTTTGGTCATTAATCTCAAGTTGAGCTTATTTTTTTGTTACAGTAACATAGCATTGCCTTTTTCTGTGGGAGAAACTATGGGAGAAACTATGGTGCTATGGGAGGAAGACATTCTAGGGCCGAATGTGGGGTTGGTGAATGGCATTCGAGAGTTGCTGGGACGAGAGTGGGTTGTTAAAGTCACACATGTCTATCGGGAAGCTAATTTTGTAACGGATTGTCTGGCGAGCTTGGCTTCTCATGGTCCTAGAAGGTTACAATGGTTTCAACAGCCTCCGTCAGGAACGGTACCATGGTTAGAACATAATGTGATCGGGGTATCATACCTAGAAATGTAACGCCTTCTTTGTAACAAAAAAATAAAAAAAATAAAAAATTGAGTATAACAATGTACCGGAATTACAGTTTCTTGTGGTTTGCCCCTTTGAGGATTGAGTCTAAAGAGGAATACGCTGTCGAACCAAATAAAAAAAATGCTATTCCTAATGATTAATCATTAGTCCCTACATATTAGCGTAGGTACAAGTTGGTCAAATTCATCGTATTCTTATGAAATTGGAATAATATGGTAAAAGAATTTAGCATGATCGAAATATGGGATGGAGCAACTTTAAATCATTTGGCCAACTCTCCCACCTATTTAGGTGCTTACCGTGAGTAAGGGAGATTAGTCACTGTTACAGACAGTGCACACCCTGCAATATGCGAAATAGATGTGACACAAAAAAATCGTTGTTATACATAATAACTTTTTCTAGACACCTAAGGATAGTGTCAGAATCGATCTATTTCAACTTCTTAGTATTGAAACAGACTTCTGCATTTCATTCATAGTATGATTTTCTTTGTTGTGTTTACATAAGAAAGAAGGATTACGTGAATTACTACCGATCAATATTGCATATGCACATTTGAATGTTGGAAGGAATAACAAAAGCAGGGCTAAATCAAGACCCCAAAATTAATGAATTTTGTCAATTTCCTGTAACGATTATCAAGCTATTATGTCTTGGTGGTAAATGAATACTCATTTTCCCACCATTTTTTTCACCCTAATACAGAAGAAACAAAAAGAAAAGGATCCCAATTGGAATTAACACCACCACCACCACCAACCCAATTGGCGTTTTCACAATGCAGAAACTGTTGATCTGATGGAAATCCCCCTCCTACCTCATTCATCTGCAAAGCTACTGTCTGCATTTGTAACATATCCAAACTCCCGACATTGTTGGTCAGCAGCTGAGTAAGAGAATGATTTTCATCCGGCGTATAAGAAGTATAAGGCATTCCACCACTGGTTTGTGCAGGATATGGTGGGATAGGCCATGGATTCGCCGTCGAGGCGGCGACAACGTTTGTTGAAGTAGTAAAAAGAGGATCTTGGGTTGCCCATGCATTATCAGCCCACATCACATTTGATTCTGTTGTTGTTGTTGTTGTTCCTCCTGTTGTCATCCATTGCAGACCATTTGTTGTTGTAGTGTTAGTATTGCAACCCACGAAATCTTCGATTCGGGTTTCATGATTGATCACCAAATTCTGTTCATAATCATGAGGTAAAGCCACAGGATTGATGCTGATGTTGTTGATGTTTCCATTGCCATTGCTCTGTTCAGGTTCTTGATGGAACTTCCTTGTACCAGGTCCAACGTTGAGTTTGGACATTCCAGTTACAGATGTTTGCAACTTATGTCTTGAAGTATTGTTGCAAGAAGAAAGGATTGGAGGATCTGTGTTATTATTGTTGGGCTGAATTGATTTGGATTGAGGAACAATATTAGAACTGTTTCCTTTAGAAGAAACATTCTTGTTGTTTGGCTCGTTGAATAACTTGGCTTTCAATGCTCCGACGAGTCCATCTGGTTCATCAGTCCGGCAAGCTTCTTCAAACGAAAAGGGTTCGCCGCAATCGGGGAAATCGTCGTCGTCGTCGTTATCCGGGAGCTCGAAATTGGTCCGGGCATTAGCCCCTCTAAGTGCCCTGGCAGCTTCATCATATGCCCTGGCTGCATCCTCTGCTGTGTCGAATGTTCCAAGCCAAAGCCTGACCTTTTGCAATGAATCCTTAATCTCGGCAACCCATCTTCCCGACGGCCGTTGCCGGACTCCAACGTACCGGTGGTGGCCTCTTGATGAGTTCTTCCTTCTGCTCCGGACACCATCATCGGTTTGCGATGAAGAAGTAGGCTTCATAGCTTTATGGACCATGTTTTTTGAGTTATTATTCCCTTTGTGTCTCTCTTTGTTTGCAATGTAGCGTATGAGGTATTGGTTTTATAAATAGAGGGAGATTCCCATGCAAGATGATCTAAGAGTTTAACAGTTCATTAGATGACAAATGTTGTACATTTTGCACTTTGCAGGCCGAGTTGGTTATATCGAAAAAGAGAGAATTTTTATTTTTATTTTTTTAAAGAAATAAAGAATTGAAGATCTCTAAGAATTGCAAGGAAAAAATGATTGATTAGTGATGACATGGAAATACTTATTAGAAAACGTAGCTTTGATAGAAATGAATTGTCATATTTGTGTCAAGAAATGGTCAATTTCTTGGAATATTGGCATTGTACTACCTTTGTCTGAGTTTGAGAAGTTTTTTACTTCTTTATCGCTGGTTGAAACTTGAAACCACATCTAATGAAGATGCTTTGGAGGTAATTAGATTACTTATGACGGTAATGAAACCTATTGAGTAAGAAAATACTCTCTCCATTCCAAAATAAGTGTCGTTTTGGCAAAATGGAGAAATTCTAAAATAAGTATCATTTTCGGACTCCAATGCATTTTTTGTCAAAAATTTCCAAACATACCTTCAAAAGGAATAATATTATTAGTGAGCATTTATTTTAATGGGGTTGGTTGAGGATATTCTAATAATTTAATTACCCTATTTAATGTTTTCTTAAACTATGTGCAAACTCTATAATGACACTTATTTTAGAACCTACGGTACTATTATTAGAATAAGATTTCCCTCATTTATGTGCCTTCTGATTGGTGTGTTTGGTCCTTCGTGGTCTGCCAAAGGCAACAATGTGTCTACTTACCAAATATTTTTCGATCATTTTGGCAAAATTGGTCCTGGAAAAAGGTCAAAATCTCGGTATATTGCATTCTCTCCATCGTTTTCAGAGGTTTGTCTCTGTTTAGGAATTGATTTCACCAATCATTTTGACGTTATGGTAACTTTTCTACAGTGCATCATTGCGTTAATTAACCTACTACGGTGAATTTTCGATGTTAATGAGAAAAGAAATTGAGCTATTTCTATTGGAACTGAAACATAGTATTGAAAGGGCCAAGAGCTGTTCGATATAGCAAGAAAATTTGATGATCAAACTGTTTTGTCTAGACTCTAAAAGATATTTCCAGCTCAATTTTGGAAAAGAAAAATGCTAACTGGAGATGAAAAGGTAGGGGATACAAATTCTTGTTTGTACATCCAATATATTAACAGGCACATATCTCAATTAGGTATAGCTTCCCTTATGTTATGGATCAAAGGGAAAGTTGGGAAAAAACCATTGTAGAGGGTGATCTCCCATAAGCAATAGTTTAATACCACACTCATATTGATTGTTTGAAAGGCCAAAAGGGATTGAATATGCTTTTCACAATTAGTGAGATTCGAACACATGCTCATACATTGAGTTTTTAATCTTTTAGTTACTGACTTTTGATCCATTCTCAATTAAACATACTTTGACGACAATATATAAAATTGATCAGTACGTGTACAGGTGTTAAGAAAAATCGATTTTATGACTGAAACGTATAAACATGTATAATTAGATGAAAAGTTCGAATTTTCCTAAGAGCATTCACAATGGTTAATTTACACTTCTGTGAGTATAATATTATAAATTTTTAATATTATATTTTTATTCAATTTTTCACTATACTGATATACACTGTAAAAGTATATAAAAAATAAAATAGTTTTGATATCATCATAAATTCACATTAATTGTATTTTAACCACAAAAGGTGCGTCATACAGTGTAAGAATTAATTCTGTATAATATTATTATACACGACACAATAATAAATAGTATAATAAAGTGATTATTTACTAAGCATTTACCATCATTGTGGATGCTCTAACCATGATTTTTTTTTTTTTTTTAAAAAAAGAGTAGCTTCTTGCTTTTCTGGTATCGTCAAATAAAGTGTGATCATAGGTCTTAAGAGTTAAGACATGTATGGGAAAGGGTCAAGGGAAGGAATTGATGATGGAGACGTGAACTTATGATCCAAGAAGGGAAAAGACAAAAATAACTATTGTTATAAAGGGGGGAAAAAAATATAGCAAAGCTGATGAGCAATAAGAAATTGTCCCATACGCAAGATCGACTATTTTAATGAACATTCTCTCTATTAATCTCCGCTTCAAGATACATTTCAATTAAAAAAAAAAAAAAAAAACCCATGTCCTTGTTGATTGTAGTCACCACAGAAGGATGGAAGACCATATTTTTGTTTGATTCCCTTGAAACCTTCGAACTATTCTGTGCATAAACAACAAACACAACTACAAGATTGTGTGTTTTAGCTTATGGCCATATGGATTGTGGAGAGGTTCTAGAGAAAAAACTGACCTATGTTTGAGGCCCAAGTGGAGGCCATTCTACTACAGCCAGGGAAAATTCCAACTCAACCTACTCATTCCATTTAATTGATGGCTGTTACTCTACACCATTTATTAGATCTTCATATAATATTTGTTGTATAATTGTCAAAAAAAAAAAAATGATGAAATGTGTACTTTAAAAAAAAATTTCATCCGGTTCAATCTATATAATGATCATGTTTGTTCAACGATTTTAGTTTAATTAGACTTATGTGACGACATGTATAGTTCTTAATTAAGTCAAAACAATGTAGAATCTGTTCCACAACAATGATATTGCTGTTGAATTTGCTTAAGTTTGCGAACCAAACTATGCTATGAAAAGAGGAAAGAAATAACCATTGTGTTTTAAGAGAAAATTTGAGCAAAATCTCAATAAAAGATCATGAATTTAAATCCATCCGTTTTCTCTGTCCCAAAAAATAAAAATACATAATTTTGCATATCTTCTCTTTTAGCAAAAAGACTAAAGATGCATATTGCATTTTGTGTGAATGAATCAAACTAAATTACATGCATGCATTAACAAGGGCGAAGTCAACTAACAACTAATCCATCAAAACACAATATTTAACCAAAATTTTTTCTTAAAAGGACAGGAAAACCACAAGTGTACTGTTGGCCCAAGATTCTTGTGTTAGTGAAGAGATACTTACTAAAATTCTCTACGAAAAACAAAGCAAATCCGGCCAAATTTTGGCCAAAAAGTGGAACTCAGAAAATGGGATTTGCTTGTATGTAAGCGAATAAGAACAGGCAGATGATACTTTATGAACCCTAAACTTATTCTGTCGTCAAAGAATAATTGATATGTCAACCAGAGATAATACAAATGGTAATCATGAGTTATCTATATACATATATCGGCAGTGGAAATTCCATTCACTGCTTATTCCAAAAAGAGTGATGATACACATCTCACCTTAAAATTTACTAATCATTAATTTATACAGTTTTGGACATTTGACCCGTTCAAAGAAAAAATTTTGAAGGCACCCTACTAGATTCTTACCTGTGAGGATAAAGTGCAAAATATTTCTGTTTTTTTTTTTCCCATGGAAAGATTGTTACTAATTGCGGTAAGCATATATATTAATTCCTTCCTAATTTGTCTCAAAAGGTATCTCTTTCCATTCTTTGTTGTTGAGGACTTTAGGGTTTTACCTCTTTCGTCTCACAATGATTGTTATTTTTAATCCAAAATAACATTTCCATAAGTTGTATTATCCTCATTAATTGTGCTACAAGATTCAATATTTTCTTCTTAAATATATTTAATTTTCAACCATTTTAATACACATTCTCATTGTTCGTCTCGCCGTGTGGTCAAAGGGAGTGGTCGTAATGTACTCAAATTTCAGATCATTTTTCATATCTGGAGAGATTCCATCACAACAGAAAGTAAAAAAATTACTTCAAGACTCAAGGATGAAAACTTTGTAAATGATTCTTTTGAAATAATAAATAGAACAATTATTTTGGACGGAATATATGGCTACAACCAGTTGCTTGGACAATGGTAGAGGATCTCGTTGATGAAACCCCTCAAGTCAAATTGCACCCAAAAAAAAAAAAAAAAAGACGAAGAAGAAGAAAAGGCTGGAAACAAGTAGTTTATGTGAAACTTTTTCTTAAAGAGTTAAAAAAATGGGGTAGGAAGAAAACTGGTAAATTTTGATGGCCAAAACTGTATACGGATAATACACCCAATAATTTTTTTTTTATTGATTACTTTCGCTTAATGAAAAGACTCCACCTAGTACTACTACTATATTTAGTGTGTGAGACAATAAGGATAAACTATTTTTCCAGATTTTCTCGACACCACTTAAAAAAAAAGGGTTTCTGTCAGAGGAATGATAGAATTACATATTGGTCATGATCTATGCTTCAGAGGGTGTTATTTTGTACACAGATCTCTATCTAGTCTAATAATGATAATCCTATTTATTATTTTCTAGCCTTAAGAGATACTCCCTCCGATCCTTAGGTTTCAATTTATTAGATGTCTTTTTAATATTAACCTGAAAAACATTTCATAATAATTAGGAGAACACACCGAATATGAAAATATAATTTTAAGGTTTTTTTTTCAATTAAAAAGACATAATAGATTAAACTTAGGACGAAATCAAAATGTCTTATAATAAGGACCGGAGAAAGTATGTAGTATTTTGTTCGGTTTACGTTCAATAAACTCATTAATCACTTTCAACGTACACTTACAAGCGTGAAATGAAAATACTAACAGTATGGGGTTTGATAAAATTACTAACACTATTGATTAACCACAAGGACAAGGGGAAAAAAAGAAAATAAAAGAAAGAAAGGACAAGGGGGAAAAAAGAAAATAAAAGAAAGAAATGATAGTTCAAAACAACAACATTTGTTATAGATTTAGTGTATGCATGTATAACGTAAGACTTCTATGCTTTTGCAACAACTGCAAAGAGATCGCAACTCTCCCACAACAACATCAGAGGTTGGAAATGACCATCAAACAATTATAGTTTTTGATGGATGATTTAACTCAACCACCAGAAGTTCGGCCGGAGCCTGGAAAACTACATCTCCAATAAGCTTATTAATGCAGATAAAAGCAATTGTGTTCCCTTCCTTATCAGCATGTCAAACAGAGGTAACCACATGCCTAATGGCCCTCCAAGAAGCCTGGATATTAGGGATCGAGATATGATCATACAAACAGATTGCGGGGAATTAACATCCAACTAAAGAATATCCTCTTTTCCGGTGGAAACACCCAAAGTAGTCTCGAATCTTCGTCAACTTGTGTCTAAGTTTAATTCATGTATTATAGTTAAAGTTAGTAGGAATCATGTTATAGATATGCATAATTTAGCGTATTCTAGAATGCAATGTAACAATCCAACTTCTATTTCGGAATAAACAGATACATTTTTGAATAAAAATAAAAAATGTATAACATGATTAAAATACTTGTAAAAATTACTTACTCTACTCGAATGAGAATAAATCTGAGTATTAATTATCCATTTAGAATTACTCCCAATAATTCTTTGGATCAAAATACATGTAGTTCAAAGTTTGACTTTTGATGCACCTAGCAAAATGTGAGTTATATATTTCTTGAACGTAAAGCATGGTTCCATTGGAGAAATGGGCGACTATATGCTCCCTCCCCACACCATTTGCTCCTCACATTCCTCTCTTAAGTCCTTTAACTCTTTTAAACCTTTTCTCCTTCTTCCAACATTAATCCACCGCCATCTTCCTTAAATTGACCCAAAAAAAAAAAAAAAAAAAAATCCCCAAAAAGTACCCAAAACAACAGAGTCTAAAAGAAGCAACTTTTTAGAATCACTTGACATCAATCCTCATGCTATTCGGCCTACTCTACCCCCTATAACTTCTTCATTCATTAACTTAAGCTTCTGCGCCTACCTTTATTTGTATTAATCTTTCCCTAATTAAACAACCCCATCATCAATCCAATATTTCATGCATGTTTCTTCTTCTTCATCTTCTTCTCTTCCTTTTTGTCCCTTCTTCTCTTCTTCCCTTGAACTTAATAATATGTCTTTGAAAAATGCCAAGCATTTCTTCATGATCATTGTTTTTCTCTTTTGTTTCTTCATACTGTTGGATGGATGGAGAAGGGAGGAGATCCAGAGCTCCAGGTTTAGCAAGTTAAAAACTGGAAATATGCTTCAAGGTTCTTATTCTTACACCAACAGAAAGGTTTTGGAGGCAAGCAAATTCGATTTCACCCCATTTCTTAGAAATCATTATCGTTATCGTTATCGCCATCGACATCATCATCAGCAGCATAGAAGACATATTGCCGTGGAGCTTGAGCCTCCTGATGATGATGATGATCAAGGGGAGTTTGATCCTATTTTTGGTACTGAAAAAAGGCTTGTTCCATCTGGTCCGAACCCTTTACACCATTAATTTTCATTTGTTATTCTCTTACAATTTTGTACTTAAAATTTAGACTGCATTTCTTGATTTTCAGTTAGCAAATAAAGGGATTTTGCATACTGTGATCACCCAATTTTAATTATGGATTTATTTATTTCTTTATTTGGTAGTGTTTTTTTTTTGTTGATTATTTTTCGTAATGAATGATGTATATATATTTTCGTCAATTGGATAGTTTGTACTCGATCATTTTCCTAAGCAATTGGATTTTTTTGGTACTTTTTTTTTTATCCCACCAGTCTTGTTAATTAGTGTTCATGAATTTGATTGAGATAGCGAGCATTAATTAATTTGGGTTATACATTCGTCTTTTAATTCTTTCAGCTAGCCCTGGGATCAAGTTAATTAATCATGTCTCTTAATCTTTCGAGGTGTGTTGATTGAAGTTAATGGTTTATTTTAACCTCATAAATTGCGTGTTATTATATCAAAGATTTGATTACTGTGATGTTTAGAGTGCAAAACAATCATAAAACTGGTTTCATGCATTAAATCAAGGAAATGGCATGCATTGTTTAGTTGTGACGGCACGGCTTTGCCTGGGAAAACTAAAACTAGTGTGTCATATAAAGATTAAATTATACCATTTCGTCTTATTTTGATTATTTACTTTAAATATTGTATTGATTTAATTCAACAAAGTGAAATATTAAGTGTGATATAAATGGTACGTAATTGTATTAGTTAATTAATTAATCTGCGTCCAAACATTTTGCTGTAGTTGAGTAGAATTTAAGATAAGATTTCTTTGTTCTTGATAGATTATGTCGGCTGGTATCTGAACTCTGAAGAATTCGGTCCAAAAATTGATAATTTGTACGCAAATTGATGTCAAATCCTTTGACCTTTATCAAGTTAAACATAAATTATTGAAGAGCACCATGTACTTATTTTATACCCACCTTGTGGAAATAATGAGGTAATTAGTCAATGAAACTCAATTGTATTCGGGGAAAATTGGGAGACATGGAAACCCACAGAAGAAGGTCGAAAGCAGCTGAGAAATTTAATAATGGCCAAATGGTAAAAAGTCATTTAATCATTTCAACGTTGTTTGTTGTGAAATGGTTCTACCAACATTGACTAAGAGAAAAGACAATGCGAAGTGATAATTAAAGTAACTCAATTCAATCTTAGAAGAAGATTCTAATTTCGATGTGATGATTGTATACATCCTTCTTAAAACGATGATCGTGTTTATTGTGTTAAACCTAGCACAAGCAGAAAATCATTTTAGGACGAAAAAAGTACATATGAATCGGGTAGTTATGGATTTGAAATATTGATTTGAGATGGGGTGAGTTGTATTATGCATATTGATAATGATGAAAAGCAGTACGATCCTCGCATGCTATGTTCCACCAAATAGTATCACTAAAATCATTTTCTGAGTGGATCATCAATTTGGTCAGTATGAAACAACTGGAAGTGGTTTTGTGGCTCTTTGTTAAAACCATTTTCCCCAGTGGAGATTCTTTCACATCAAGTATCAAAACATAGATGGAAGATTCGGGTATAGTTTCTGCAATTTCACATTTCTATTGAGGAGTTAATCTCCTCCAAACACCGGACGCAAGCTTTCTCTCCTCTAAACATCTGAGATGAAAACTAGCTGAACCCTAGAATCTAGATGGTGAAAGTTCAGTACAGCTACAAAGCATCACCAGATTCTGCTCTGACCTGAGTAGCATGGGAAACAAGGATCCCATGGAATCCCTAAGGATCATATCACTTCACAAAGCTAAATACTCTGGTGGATAGCAAACTAGTCCACCATTAGGTTTTACACATGTTGCCTGCAAAGAAACAAAAGACCATCTCATTGACACTGGAAATTATGATTTACTCGCTCTTAGAAGTAAGTGACTCGCATAACATGTTACAAGGAAAGAGAATGCAAATGCCGAAAAGAATTGAAAGTATATAAGCAATCCACAATTTGCAACTGATAGATTTGTTCTTCGGACTAGATATGTCAATCGATGCGGACATGTGTTCCAGAGTTACTGAGTACCATTTCTAAAGGCTCAGACACATTGAGTACATTGTATACACATATCATAAGACTAAGAGTTAACAGAACTCAAGTTACATCTTGCGTAATTCCTGTATTTGAAAAGACTTTGGGTTCAGCAGATGCCAGATGTATACCCTCAATATCATACTACGTACAGAAAAAGAAAAACAAACTTGGAGAATCTTACGGGACCCTTTAGCTAGAAATTGCAAATCAATCAAATATCAACTTGAAATATTTCATTCACATTAACATTTAATAAGTCTGAACTCCCAAACTACTCCCTTAGTCTATAGATTATGAGCAATTTAAAGTATCATCAGAACTAAATAATAGCTTACCTCTGTCTCCTCCCATCAGCATCATATCTATCATCCTAAGCACGCATTGAGTTCCTAATTGTCTTCGGTTGAGAAGGAACTGTAAGCACCACAGAAACATCGGAATTTAGAAATTCTGTTATCTGTCAGCAATTGTACGTTCACATTGCATTGAGATACACTTCTGGCAAAAGCAAGGAAGACGTAATAAATAACAGCCTGCACATTATAATTATAATATAGGAACTTCAAGAAAGACAAATCAGAGAACAGCACCAAGTAGAAGTAAATACCAAATTTTCTATTTTCTGACCTGATAACACTTCACATGCGAGTTTTCATTTGCAGACAGTCTTCATCACATGATCCTACAGATGTTGAAGTACCATAAGCCTAGCTTCATCTGTCCTCTCAGCTTTGGTCCTCTACAAGGGCCATACCTTGCTTAGTCATTCACGGGGAAAACACATACCTGCAATCTCAGATTTAATGATTTATCCTATTTCTTTAAGACCACGGGAAGCAACTTCAATGTTGTTAACTAACAACGTTCTCCACTGTAATCCTGCTATACCCAGGTAACTTTCTAATACCCTGTAGACTTTTAGCTGTCCTCACTTGTTTTTCATCATTTTTCTTCCCTGCAAATGAATACATATCTGACAAGAGTACATAAGGCGCTGCACTGTCTGGTTCAAGTTTGGAGATATTTTTAGCTGCAAGCTCCGCAATATCTAGGCGAGAATGGATCCGGCTTGCAGAAAGAAGAGCACCCCAAACACCAGAATGGGGTGAAAATGGCATCGTGTTGATTAAAGTTACTGCTTCATCAAGCAAACCTGATTTTCCAAGGAGATCCACCATGCAAGCATAATGGTCAGGTCCAGGTTCTATCTTATACAAAATTGGCATCGATCTGAAGTAGTGCCTTCCCTTTTCTACAAGTCCTGCATGTGCACAAGCTGAAAGAACACCTAGTAAGGTGATTTCAGTAGGCTCATGTCTGGCATGCAGTGATTGTTCAAACAACTTGAGAGCTTCAGTTCCATAACCATTTTGAGCAAATCCAGAAATCATTGAATTGAAAGAAACAATGTTAGGTCTGCAGATGGACTCGAAGATCAGATATGCATAATCTACACTTCCACATTTGGAATAGAATGAAACCAGGGTATTTTGGATGGACAAGTCAGACTCCATATTCCTCTTAATAACATGAGCATGTAACTGGGAACCTTGATCCAATATTGCCAAACCAGCTGAAGCACAAAGAACGCTAGTCAAGGTAAGAGGAGTTGGTCTTACTGAATTCCGAAGCATATGAATAAACCAACAAATAGCTTCCTGGTGCTTGTCATTATTTACGAATCCTGAGATCAGTGCAGTCCACGCCACGGCATCTTTCTCAGGCATCATGTTGAACAATCTAACACATTCTTTTGTCAAGCCTCTGTCAGAATATCCACTAATTATCACTGTCCATGAAACTACATCTTTCTCAGGTGCCCTCTGAAATATTTGAAATGCCGCTTCCAGATCATTAGCTTGAACATAACAAGAAATTAGTGAATTCCAAGAGATGACATCTCTCTCCATCATGTTATCAAAAACATTTCTAGCAGCATGTACAGAACCAAATCTAGAATACATGGTAATAACAGAGTTTCCTAGATATACATCAAAACCAAAACCCAAATGTGAAACAAGCCCGTGTACTTGACACCCTTCTCGGAATCTCTCGAATCTTCCACAAGCTTCAAAGATTGCTGTAACAACCACTGGTTCAATTCTCACAACACCTTCCTTTCGCATCTCAGAAAACAAACCAAAGCCATCTTTCAAACGCCCCAACTTCATATACCCATTGATCATAGAACTCCAAGTCACCTCATTTCTGTAGTTCGTAGCTCCAAAATACTTTCTAGCTTCATCAACTCGGCCATTCTTACAGTATCCATCAACCATTGAGCTCCACGACACCACATCCTTGACCACCATCCCATCAAAAATTGTAGTTGCCTCCTCCAACCTCCCCACTTTCAAATATCCATTTATCATCACATTTGAACAAGTTGGGTCGCGGAAGCTAATCGGTGTTTCAACATACAATTTCTCGGCTTCACGAAACCTACCCGAATTAACAAAACCAGTGATCATTGCAGCGTAAGACACAGCGTTTCTCTCAGGCATTTGCAAAAACAATCGAAACCCTTCATCGACACAAACCTTCCTTCTTATATAAGCTGTGATCATGGCGTTCCACGAAGCAACAGTTCGTTGAGGCATCCGATCAAACAGTTGGCGAGCTTTCTCGAGCTGACCGTTCTGGGAGTATGCCGTGAGCATTGCCGTGTAAGAAACAACACTTTTCGCGGGCATGCTCTTGAATATAGATTCAGCCTCTCTAAGATTACCAGCTCGGCCATGTTCTGCAATCTGGGAGTTGCAGGAAATAAGGAATCTTCTGGCCTCGCTGCCGGAGTTCAACACAGCCCGAGTGGCGAAGGTTGAACTTTGACGGAAAATTTGACGACCCTTATGATTAAAAAGTGGATGGTCTGTGTATAAATCCTTGGAAATTCGTTTGGCCAGTGTACCATACATGTTGGCGAGTTACGTATAAAAGAAAGTGAATCCGTTCTCCCCTTTACTCATATCGTTAGAAAGTCACAGATTGAACTTTGAAGCAAAGTTCATCTTTTTACACTAAATATGTGTTTTTTTTTGCAGCCGAGAGAATAGATCATTAGCAAGAGATCAAAAGATTTTAACTTTGAAGAAAAAAAGAGAGATTTCATGGAGTAGCAGAGCAGAAGAATCAGTTTATTAGTTACCGGTAACAAATTAAAAAAAGCTCACATTTAACTGCAAAAAAGCCAACCAGCAACCAAAGGTTTTAATTACATGTTCCCAAACAATAATAAAAACCAGAAACCAATAATAAATTAAATGACTTGAAAGAAATACACAAATGCTCTAAGTACACTTCCAATTTTCACCTCCAATAATTTCTACAAAAAAGATAACCCACAACCATTCATCATGAAATTGATTTGCAGTCCCATCTTTGTAATCCATTGATTCAAATGACTTCAAACAGTACAGCATTCCTTGGCAGCATCTTGGGAGACTTCAGCCTTCAGGACTTCTTCAGCATAGTATATACCCGGTGAAAACCTTTTTATGGACACATTCCCAATTTCATGACTGATATTTTCACCTCAAAAGCAAATGAAGGAAAAAAAGAGAACCCGAAAGAGAACAGAAATGGCACACTGAAAAAAACTGTTTGTGACATTCGTATCTCTTAAGCAATAACATCCTGTGCGTGCGTTTATTGTGGAGTTATTTTCCACACCCTGACACAAGCATCCTCACCAGAACTGACGACATTTTGTTCATCAGTGAAAGCTAATCCATACACTCCACCCAAATGAGCTCCTTTGATGGTAATTCTACTTGATGCCGGCTTGTTTATTTCATAGATAATCACACAGGTGTCAAGTGATCCAGTAGCAACCATGGAACTATCTGGAGACCAGGCCAAGCAGTTTATGCGGGCAGTATGATACAGCATATTTTTTAGCTTCACCTGAAATAAATCAATGGACTTCCAATTAGTCACTTCACGAATCACTGACAATCAAATAAATTTAAACAGTTTTGTAAAATTTTTATATTGAAAGAAACAGGGATATTGTTCGCTAGCACTTCGTGACAACCACATACAAAGCATATCGGCAACTAAATCAGGAGCTAAGTTCTATCAGAGCAACGCAGTGGCACAAATTCTCACATGATTCTTGTGAAAGAGAGGTAATGCTAGTTCAAAATTATATCTTTTTCTCTCTTGAGGAAAGAAAGAAACAGCCGCCAAGCACTCAGGAGAAATTTTTCATGAGTATCGAACAATACTAAGGTACTAAACCAAACCTGATGGTCCCATAACGTTAGACTTTACATAAGTTCCAATTGAAAGTTATGACATAGAACAGTACCTCTCGAGATGCACGGTCCCAAACAACTGCTTCTCTGTTAACATCAGCTGACGCAAATAAGGAAACATCTGGGGAGTAACGAATCACAGTAACAGCCCCCCGATGTTTTTCAAGGACAGCTTCTTCCTTAAGACTATCCCCATTTACAGAATATAGGTGCAGCTTACCATCTTGACCCCCAACAATGGCTTCAGTACCATCAGGAGACAATGTACAGGCAGTTACAGGAAACCCAAGATTAACTTGAGAAAGCACCTGTGTACCACGAAGAAGAACTACTCCAGTATCAACAGAGACCAAGGCAAGTTCAGGAGAAAGAAGGGCAATGCTCATGTCCTTTGGTTGACTTCCAATATCAATGCAATCTCCATCCCCACATTGATCTTCTTTTAGAGGAACTCTCCAAATCTACATCAGAGTAGAAGACATAGCATTAAGAAACAATCAGCCAATTAGACTACAGAGGAGACATGCATGGTTTCTTATTGTCAAGCATACATTACAATTAGGTTATACAGTATACACCTTAAAACGTTCTTCAGTGTGTAATTCTCATAATACAGTCTGTTATCCCCATCTTCATCGATGTTTTCGTTTTCCTTCCAACCAACAAGTCAGGAAATGGGAAATTGGGGGGGGGGAGGAGAGAAGGGGGGGTGAATAGCAATAGCGGATGCATATAACTCATAAAAGCTACTGCTGACAGTGTCTTTACCCACAGAAAATAGAGATAGAGCTAGAAAATATTAAACAAAGGGTAAATGCAGGGAATGTGAGAATCCAGAATGTGTAAGATGACATGTTTGCTCAGCAGCTGGGCCTGGGATGTTTCGGAGAAATTTCGCCCACTACCAAATTTGAATAGAATCAAACTTTACACTGACGATATTATTTGATAATGTGTATGGCACCAATTACAAAAGTTTTGGGACCTGAGAATTCTCTGTTTGCCATCATTTTCAACAATTACTTGCTGGCAAACCATACAATTTCTCAGGTTTCCATTTCATGCCACATCCCTCCCAAAATTAAACACCAAACATTATGCATTAAGCAAGACAAGGAATATATAGATAGGATGCATATTACCCTACAGACATAAACACACGCCCAAAATAGCTATATATAGGAAAAAAATAGATGCAGAGAGAAAGAGACGGAGGGAGAGATCACCGTATTATCAAAAGAAGATGTAACAATTTCTTCTTCAACAGCGGCAAAACATTTTATTTGAGAATTCACTTTCCTCTCTAACTTCCCGCAATATCCAATACCTTGAATCCATTTAACTATTAAACCATCGTAACTACTTGACAAGATAATTTTTGGGTTGCTTTTGATCACAGATAATGAATTAATATTCTTCATGTGTCCGGAAAATGATACTGGAGCCTTTTCAAGATCACTGGCTGAGTACAAGGAAATAGTCCCTCCAAGAGAAACTGTAACAAGATGATCATTCTGCCAGAGACACCCAACTAACATGTCATCAACACCGCCAGATCCGGGAGATATCAAAGTCTTCTTCACCTTGCCCTTGGCATCATCAGATATTTCCCATACTTTGGCAGTCTTGTCAGCAGACACTGTTAGCACCTGAATTAACATAATAGTTTAAAAGTGGCAGACAAACCCATAAAACTATCTATGTAAAGAATATTTAAGATTTATGACCCTAGCACAGTTTAGAGACCAATTATGCACAGGAACGTTTCTCAAAGTAGAAAGGTACGACTGGCCAAAAGGCATAGCCCGCAAATATTTGACAACTTATATGGGAGAAGACCGTTGAACCAGAAAATGGATGGAGTTATCATAAAATATGAAACATATGTCAGGCTCATACAAATCTAGTTTACTGGACAAATCACCACCGGTTCATGTATTCAGTTCCATGAAGTTAATTTTGAGTTATGCATTTATGATGAAGATATGTTAAGATTGTAAGGATATATGGTGGATATCAACTTATCCATCTCTACAGAGAGTGCAGACAATTAACCATGGACCAATCCAATATAATTCTGTTTACAGACAACGAGCTTTCAACAAGCATGGTACAAGAGCATTTAGTTTTGACAAGTCTTTATCAACAGGAAATGAGGTTATCGAAGATTCAAAAACACAAGTAGCTTAATGGTAACTGAAGAGTGAAGAATGCTATATCCTAAAAATCAAGATAAAGGAAGTAATCAAGGCTACCTGCTTACTATCAGGACTCCAGCTGACAGCATATATGCTCCCTTTATGACCATCTTCAGAAGACAGCTCCCCAATTATGTCTCCTGTTTTGGCATCATAAATGATACCTCTTTTGTCAGAGCTAACGGTGATGAATTTGCTACCATCTGGAGAGAACCTAATACAGTTTACGAAATTTGAATGATCCCTGCAGGTTATCATGGAAATGAGTCAATAACAAGTGTATCGAGTTTTGAGGTAAACACAGACATTTCAACTAGGTGGGTAAGCTATGTCTCCGATATCCTTCACCAGTTTCAAACAATATACATAAATCACAAGCCTATCTTATTCAAGGATGGTTTTCATTTTCTGATCACAAACACCACTGAGTAAAATTAAGTGGTTCGTTATCTAACTCTTTCCAGAGATATTTAGAAGGTAATAGAGCATTCGCTCTTCCAACCTAAAATAATAGAAGAGCGAACAGTAACCTGTGAGATAGTTTGAATTTAAATGGTGGTCCTTCATAAAAGTTCACTAAGAAGTCCTCTCCACAAGTTGCAATGCGAAATGGTCTTGTGGGCTTAAATGCGCAACTCAGAACCCTTCTCGAATGACCATCGAATTCTCCGACATTCGACCCTGAATCCCACCTGGAAAAAGGCATCCCACCTTCATAAGTACTATATAACACATAGATAACATGCATGACATAACACATACACAAAGCCATGAATTAAAAGCAGTGCCTTTGAGGCACTGTAAGACACTCACATTCTAGTCACATTTTCTACAGAGATTCTAAAATAACCAAGAAAACATAATTAGCAACCCACGTCAGTAAATATGTCATAAAGATACAAACTTTGGATTAGAAATCAATCATCAACCTAAACCTCATTACCAGCTACACTGCTTCCATAATACTAGCACTTAGCCAAGAATCACAATGCCATTTCGTTGAATTAACAATGCCTGGACAATAACATACAGCAGACACTCGCAACAAACATACAAGACTACTAAAATTTCACTACCAAAAAAACTAAATTAAAGATTCAATTTTGGGAGAAACACAACGTACATAAAAGCCCGAACGAAAGATTTCCCTTTCCCTTCACCACAAGCAACAATACGCATTCCATCAGGGGACCACTGAAGATCATCAATCCGACCCGAGAGAACCCGGAACTCATTCTTCAGGACGAAGTCGTTGTGGGTCCCCCAGATCCGAACCACGCCGGACACATCAGCGGAGGCGATCCATTCCCCATTGGGCGAGTACCGGGCGACGGTGGCGGGGTAAGCGTGCTCCACATAAACGGCGACTTCAAGGGGACGATCAAGGTACCGAATGACAACGGATCGCCCGTTGGTGTAAAGGATGGAGTTGGATTTCGGGTCGCCCGAAATTAAGATGCCCCGGCCCCTTTCCGTTGAAGGAACACATGCATACGTCTCTGTGAGCTGAGCTGCCATAGCTCGATTCGTGGGGTACGATGATTACACTGTGTGTGTGTGTGTGTGGCAATAAAGACTTGATGAGGTTTTTTCATTCAGCAAAGAATAAATCAGACAGAAAAGAATGTTCAAAGTTTGCTTTTTTAATTTCTTACTCTTATTGAAAATAAAAAGAATTTCATCGCGCCACGTGGACCTACTGTAATAAATCCATGACTTTCTTTCTCTTTCGATAATTTACACTTTATCCCCCTAAAGGCCTAAACAATTACAGAAGTTTAATCAAATCCAATAATTGGAAATTTGGAATCTGAATTAACAGTCTCATCTCCGGGCAAACGCAAAACATGATCAATGGCTTCTCGGAGAGGATTCCAAAGGAAGGATAATTGTACGGTGTTCGGCCGGAACAATCCATCTGGAGTTTTTCCGGCTGGACGGAAAACCACTCATTGGACAATAACAGACCTGAAGATACTGCCATTGGCCAAATCCTGAATTGGGTTTATCAGGTTAGAATTTCTCACTTCAAGTTAGAAGGGAATAAATGTCTAGAGAGGTTGAAAGTTTGAAACCTCACTATAAAGGTTTTCTTTTTACTGAAATTTACCAACTTAAGTAATTAATCCAGATGGGTACAGTAGGTAGACCCCAATTGTTCATCAAAGTATAGATGTCATATTCAGGTTCAGTACACAGGAGGATTAAAATTGGGGGAACTGGATAAAATTTAAGCATCAAAGAAACCTTTTTTTTTTTTTTCATTTGTTTGGAATTTGTGATTATCGTCTGATACATGGGAGTTTTCCAGGAAGCCAAAAGGCGGCAGTCCAAACTTTTCTTTCAATCTTTTCGGCTGCAAAATTTTCTTTTTTTGGTTTTTTTTTTTCATTTATTTGAGCTTAACGTGGTTGGATTATGGGATCAAAACAAATGCTTGTGCAGTCGTCGTTCAAAGTCTAATATATTAATTTGTAAAATCGTATGAACAATACATTTGTCAATTCCACACCTATCTAATTTCAACCTCTTGCAATCATCCTTTTCTTGCCGTCCCTTATATTCTATAAAAACCAATCAACTCCAATTCTCGTGCAATATTTTTTTTTATTAAACCTGTTTCATTCTTGTGTATGTGAATACATAATGTTATATATACAATTCCACCTTAAAATATGTTCATGTTGCCAATCCTTTGATTCTTCTTGGTTAGTTAGAGTGTGAAGATACTGACTGTGTGTAGAAAGGTGAACTTTAGAACCTTTTTCCTTGATTGGATTGATATTTCATTGGTGGGTTTTTTTTGTTTCTAATAGTCATGAAGAAAAGGCCTTATAGGAATGGGGAAATATGGGATTTTGAAGCTGCAATGATGTCATCCAGTGTGAATCATCATAAACAGCAGCAGTATCAGGAGCAAAAAGTGATATTGGGGTTGGATGGTGGGACTAGTTCCACAGTGTGTGTTTGCATTGCCTTCATCGACAACGATAGCAACAACAGAAGATTTGAGATGATGAATGATGGGCCTTCGCCTGATCGTCCTCCCTCCATACTCGCCCGAGCTGTTGCTGGATGCTCCAATCACAATAGCGTTGGTGAAATTGCTGCTAGGGAGACCCTGGAAAGAGTAATGGCAGAAGCTCTGTATAAATCAGGCTTAACTCGTGCCGCTGTACTTGCTGTCTGTCTTGCTGTATCTGGTGTTGATCATCCGACAGATCAGTACAGAATAACCAGTTGGCTCAAGCAAATCTTCTCAAGCAATGTTAAATTATTTGTTCAGAATGACTCTGTGGCTGCCCTGGCTAGTGGAACAATGGGAAAACTCCATGGATGTGTCCTGATTGCCGGCACTGGCACCATTGCTTATGGGTATACCGAAGATGGAAGGGAAGCTCGGGCAGCAGGGGCAGGGCCTGTCTTGGGTGACTGGGGAAGTGGGTATGGTATTTCTGCACAAGCATTGACAGCAGTTGTTAGAGCTCATGATGGACGAGGTCCACAAACCGCACTCACAGATTGCATTCTAAATGTTCTGGACCTCTCTTCTCCAGACGAACTGATTGGTTGGACTTATGAAGATCCATCCTGGGCGCGAATCGCTAGGCTTTTTTCCTACGTTGTGTCTTGTGCAGAGGCGGGCGATGAGGTCGCAAATAACATCTTGCTAGACGCGGTTCAAGAACTAGCGTCGAGCGTTAAAGCCGTGGTTAAGAGGCTTGGACTCTCTGGTGAAAACGGAAGGGACAATTTTCCTCTTGTAATGGTTGGAGGTGTTCTTGAAGGGAACAAAAGATGGGATATTGGGAAAGAAGTGATCAACTGTATAACCAAAGACTTTCCTGGTGTTTTTCCCATCCACCCAAAGGTGGAACCTGCAGTTGGTGCTGCTTTACTTGCTTGGAATTTTCTGATAAGACAAAGTCGAAAAGATGATGCTTTGGAGATTGATTAGTAAAAAGGATACAATAAGTGACAGAATATGAGAGCTTCTGAAGTAGGTGAATGAAAGCTCCATTCTTTATGTGGTGGTTGGTAATGAAGCTTAGGTGATTGTTATATTTGTTGTATTAAAAGTTGTACAACAAATTGGTAATCATCTTGGGATGGAAGGAGTATGTCTAATTGATTGTTGATTTGGATCTTTACTCCCCTTAATGTGACTTGAGAGAATTTCCATTGACATTGAGCAGGTTTAGTGCACTTCTATACTATTTAAAATTGCTGGCTTTAATTTTGTCCATCATATTCAAACAAAAAACGGGTCAAAGCTTGCAAAAAATTTTGCTGAAATTAACTATACAAATAAAATAAATAAATAAATAAAGAGAAGAAAGTAGCCCTTTTTTCCAAACCTTGCATGTGTGTACGCTGGTCTCGCTAGTTTGCATCATGTATAACTCTAAAACAAGACTTTTAAAAAGAGATTTATCTGACCTCAAATGAGAATTAGTTTGATTGTGATATGTGTTCGTTTAAAATTATCTCATTATTCATGTAGTCAAACCAACCAACAAATGCATATTCAAACTCTCAAACGACTATTCCGGGAAGAGATTATGTGAACATTTCCTGCAAGGGTGAAGATGATTAACTGAATCATATTTATCTAAATTAATAATTTAAGTGGTTTAACTGTGGTCTTAGCTAAACTCTAAGCATCACCCTGTGCAGAAATTGGTTAGTGGATAGTTCAATATTTACGAACCTTTGTTTGGGAGAAAATTAAGAAAATTGGTTAGCACTAAGCAGTGACTACTTCTTTTTCCAACAACAAAAAATTTGAAAAAAAAAAAAAAAAACCTTCATGATCATGAATTGGTTATTACGTACTCATTAAACATGTTAATAGTATTTCAAAAAGACTAAAATCCAAAATTGGTCCTTTACATTAAACCATTTATATATTTTGGTCATCTACATAAACATTTATCTGTTTTGGTCCTCTACTTTTACGTTCATAATTTTTTGGTCCTTTGGTACTATTCCGTCAGTTTGACTGTTTTGGACGTCAACAGGGGTATTTTTGGTATTTTATAATTTTTTCCAAAAATTATTTATATTGAATAAAATAATAATAATAAGTTTTAAATAATAAAATATTAAAAAATCCGAAATTGGTCCTTTACATTAGGTCAGCTGTACATTTTTGTCATTTATATTAAAGATTTGTCTGAAATGGATCTCTACATTTACGTTCATAACTTTTTTGGTCCTCTGACACTATTACGGCAGCTTGAGCGGTTTTGATATCAAGTGAACATGGGTATTTTCGGTATCTAGCAAATTTTTTCTAAAAAATATTTTATGGATTAAAATAATAATAAATAAGGAGTCAGTTCAGTGGTAACAGCACCGTTGCTCTAAGAGGAGGTCACGAGTTCAATCCCCCACTCCAACAAAAAGTGAGGGGTTGACTCTCACCTTGCCTATTAGCACCTCTTGGGGCTTGTTATGACTAACCCACTAATGAACCTCCGATTTTGCACCCGAGCTTATCACCTCGGGCATGCTTTAGGGTGGTTTACCTCCCACTGCAATTTGCAGGCTATTGCAGTGGGCGTGGGTTTACCCATCTCTGGTGGGGTTCCCGGCGTTATCAAATATATATATATATATATATCTATAATAGTAACTGAACTAAATAAATCATGAAATATCACTATAATATTCTTCATAAAAAAAATTATTGTACTAGGTAAATAATGAGAAGAAAAAAATAACACCAAGGAAGGGGTCAAATGGGGAAGAAATTTTTAAAAAAATCTTTATGTTTTTACTACAACAAAAATAAAAAAGGAATTTGGGGGGTTTTACTTACAGTGGGACCTGTGCAGAGTGAAAAAATGAGAAAATAAATGTTTAACTTTTAAATTTTTTATGGAAAAAATTTCGTTATATTTAATTTTATTATTGGGCGAACTATATTTTGCCCCTGAGTTTTGGCTCCATCTACCATAACCTCCCTGAGTTTTGATAATATAACCATATACCCCTTGGGCAGGGTGTTAAACATTAAATGACTAAAATAACCATTTTTACATACACTTTATTGTTAAATAACCATTGGGTAGTGGGTTGAACATTAAACCTTTATTTTTTTTTAACTTTCTTTTTTAATCATGAAAAATAAAGTTACTTAATTTATAATTTTTACATTTAATTATAACATAAGTTAATCATTAAAAGTTAATCCATGATTAATAATGTAAGTTTATTATATTTCAAAAAAAAATAATTAATAAAGATTATTTTATTTCAAAAGACATAATTTCATTAATTTCAAAAAAATTATTATCTAAGTGCATTAATATAAAATGAGTAATATGAAGTATATTTTTTAAACTTAATTTATGATATGTATTTTTTAAAAAATTATAATGTAATTTAAAAAATACGAAATGAAGGGTATTTTTAACCATTTACAAAAAATTCTTGATTGTTAAGGGGACATTTGGTAAGTTGACTATAAGTCAAGTGGGTATATGGTAATATTACTAAAATTCGAGGGATTTATGGTAGATAGGACCAGAACTCGGGGGGTAAAATGTAGTTCGCCCTTTATTATTTTGTATGAACCATTTATTGTTTAAATTTTTTGTTTCATTTTAATCCATAAAATATTTTCTGGAAAAAAAAATTTGCGAGATACCGAAAATACCCATGTTCAGTTGATATCAAAACCGCTCAAACTGCCGTAATAGTGTCAAATGAACAAAAAAGTTATGAGCATAAATTTAGAGGTCTATTTCAGACAAATGTTTAATGTAGATGACAAAAATGTACAACTGACTTAATGTAAAGGACCAATTTCGAATTTTTTAACATTTTATTAATTTTATTATTTTATTATTTAAATTTCATTATTATTATTTTATTCAATAAAAATATTTTTTGAAATTTTTATAAAATACCGAAAATATCCCTATTGATTGACGTCCGAAACGGTCAAATTGACGGAATAGTACCAAAGGACCAAAAAAGTTATGAACGTAAAAGTAGAGGACCAAAACAGACAAATATTAATGTAGACGACCAAAAATGTACAAATAGACTAATGTAAAGGACCAATTTTGGATTTTAGTCTTTCAAAAAATAATTGCGTACAGCGAACCAGTGAATGGAATGGGTTGTGTGTGAACGGATTTGGGCTCATAAAAGCCTGAAATGAATGGGCCAACATGCAGAATGATAGTGATTAGGCTTCCGCACAGTATACTTACGACCTGGTCATCGGTAGGTGACTATCTGGTTATAATTATAAAAAAACTGGGATTTTAATCAAGTAGTATTACTACTCTTTTACATAATGACGGCCCTACCTTAGTTCACCAAAACACGATTTCCTGAAATTAAGTGTACAAAATTTCAATATAGGTTTGAATTAAATTTGCAATTTCGTTGCTTAATGGGATTTAATTGCAGCAGCTATAATGGTATTAATTAACTATTGACGAGATAATTATCTGGAGATTAATACCTAGATCTCATACCCAATTATGAAATTTCAAAGTTCTGGTTTTTTTCTTAATTACCTCAACGTTCGGCTCCAACATGTTAACGTTCATAGTTGTTTACATATTCCATATCTTATAAAAATTTTATTACAACATTATAATGCGTGAATTGTAATTTACAGGTATCAATGTAGATATTTTTGTAAGATTGAAGCGTATTAGATTCATGAAATAAGCTAGAAATTTGCAGAAACTATTGCATCATGAGTTTGCTCATCAGCAAAATGTAGTTAAGAATTCAAATCATACATTTCCCTTTTTGTGAATGCGTACGACCGTCTCCCTCAACCAAAGGTAGAAACCCTAAATCCTAATTACCAAGGGTGAAGACGAAGAGATCCCCCACCCCAACTCTCCAAACCCTAATCACAAGGACAATGTCACGCGAGCACAATCACTACACCAAGGGGATAATGCGGGGCTGAATTAGTTTGAATGTGCATTATATCATCACTCAGAGCCTACTTCCAATTCATATTTCACGTGAGAAAGAAAAAAATCAGTGACATTCAACTCTCAAATGGGAAATAAAAAAGTTTGTTTCTTGTCCTTCACTCAATAAACCAAAACACACTATAACTTTCCCCACAAAGACATCCAACTGAATATTATCATATAGATCTAAGTAAATACTAATTAAAATAGTTAATTGTGGCGTTAATATATATCTGATTGATTATATACCGGTGCAAATACGGAACTTTTGAAGCGAAGGATTATCGAGTGAGAAAATTTGGGATCTACGATACATATATTTTGGTCAACCACATATATTCTCAATATATCTTCGGCAAGGTTACTATACTCTTGCTAGTCAATCACCAAAGTATACTAAAAAAAATTCACTAAATCTGTGCTACAAATATTTCATTTCAAACATTAAAAGTCATAACATTCACATCGATTTCCATTATAATATTGATAAGGTTACGATCTAGATGCATAAATTACCTACTCCATTTTTTGTTTTAACAACAAAAAAATTTGTGTGGAAAAAGACGTCTTGAATTGGAACGGATGGAATGCATTTTCTTTTAATTTGGGTGTTCCCTTACTAATCTATATCAACCGAAACAAGTTAGCTGCAAGCTCTGTGTCATATTTAACCCAATTTGAGTAATTTAATATAAGTCGTCATCGTGATCAGTTATCTGATTTTCTTTGATTCAGGACTTTGACGAGGTTTTTTCTCTTTCTATACATACGAACCTTCCAAATTAAGTATATGTAAGTGAAGTTACTACTGGGGAAGTCGCATTAGTCTACCTTGAACACTTCCATGCACGTTATTTATCAATTTGACAACAGCTAAAAATCCAAGTAAACGTATTCATTATTTAATTAACTACACTACTTCTGTCTCAAAATAATTACCAAAGAAAACAATTATGTTCACAGGAGAAGAGTGGATGCACTTTTTTTTAATAAAAAAAAATTAGAAATGAAACATAGAAACGGTCTTATTGTATTACACGGAATCCTAATCAGCATTGCACGTCACACTTCGTTTACCATTTCCAAAGGTCAATCATAAAATTTATCATCATTTCCATTATATAGATGGGATTAACTTGGATACTAACCCTCAATAATATACAGTCGTGTGCTCTGCACGAGCATTGTTCAATTTCTTCTTCTTTTCTTAATTTGATTCAACAACATTAATAATCAAAATCTTTTTTTTTTTTTTTTTGTTTCGATAGTCAGTTGTTTCTAATTTTGTGATTGTTAGGTCAAGGGAAAAGATTGAAGTCAATGATGGAAATAATGAAGTTGACAAATGTTCTGACATTTGTTTTGGTGGTGGTAGTTGTTAATTATTCCGGCGTGTGTCAAGCACGGGCGTCTCCGCCGGCACCGGTCACGGAAGAGGCACTGCATAAAGTAGCTGCTAAGCTAAAAATGTTCGTGGAAGAGCTGCCCCAAATGCCGAAGATCCGCGGATATGAGAAGGACGCAAATGGTGTTCTCAAGCCGGTGAATCTTAAGATTGGCATGTACCAGAAGAAATGGGTAAGTTCTAAACTTCTAATCATTCAGACATGTGCTATTCACAAGTAATAATCGCGTTTACGAAACATGAGTCCCGTTTGTTGAATTATTTTAATATAATAAACATAAATTTTGATATTGTGAAGAAGGAACGTAAACTCTTTGTCTTTATTTTTGTTTTTATCTTTTATTATTATTATTATTATTTTGTTGAAAAAACAATTGAAATGTAGTTGAAAAGCTCAGGATCTTGATATTTGATGACGCGATGAACATCTTCTTAACCTTTTCCATGGTCTAGAAAAGATATGAGAATTGAGAAATAAACCAATAATTATTTCGTTGGAATAGTTAAATTTTTTGAATTGTATTATTTAATTAATAAGAAAGAGAAAACAAAGGAGAAAGGACATGGATAGGTAATGTTACGCCGGCCTTTTGAAATTTCATGATTTAATTTAACTATGTTTACCGATTCATTTTGTCTTTGTTTTAGTTTTTGCTTGTTTGTTCTGGTCTTCTCGATTGTTAGCTGTTAAGAAATTACCTCAGCTAATTTCTCTTACTGTTATTAGTAAACTTCTCCAGTTTTTAAAGACTCCACGGCTCAATATGAAAATAATATTATTTAAACACTAAGTTAGTTCAATATAATTCTCAATGAAAATCAGTTTAACAACAAATTAAAAGTACCATCTCTATTCCAAAAAATTATGTTGTCCATACTCAATTTTGAGACCTGATTAAAAAACAATATAAATTTCAAAATTCAAAATAAATAAATTTTTCAGAAAAAAGAAAGTACTACTATTTTCGAAATGAAGGGATAAAATATTATTTTTTTCTTGTATCCACGTAACTATAGTTTTGTTTATCAAACATTTTTTGTCCACATTATTTCTCTTTATTATCTTCGCCAAGAGAAAAAAAATGTAAAACACAAGTAAAATTGTGACTGAGAACCTGAAATTATATTATAGTTTTACTAATAATATCACAATTAACCAAACGTGCAGAAGTTCCATCCAGACTTGCCAGCCACGACAGTATTTGCCTACGGAACATCTGAATCGTCCGCTACAGTCCCCGGTCCCACTATCGAAGCAATCAGAGGCGTCCCTTTATCAGTCACTTGGGAAAATCACCTCCCAAAATCCCATTTCCTTCCCTACGATCCCACAATCCCCACTGCCATACCTAAACACGGCGGCGTCCCCACCGTCGTCCATCTTCACGGCGGGATCCAACCGCCTCAATTTGACGGTAGCGCTCTCGCGTGGTTTACATCGAATTACACCGAAACGGGCCCGCACTGGACCCAGCCAACCTACAACTACCCTAACGTGCAACACGGTGGTAACTTATGGTACCATGATCACGCGCTAGGATTGACCCGAGTCAATCTTTTAGCGGGTTTAATTGGTGCCTATATGCTCAAAGATATCCCTCTTGAATCGAAACTGAATCTTCCACAAGATGAATTCGATATCCACCTCATGATCTTTGATCGGAGTTTCCGAACCGATGGATCACTTTACATGAACTCCACCGGAAATAATCCGACCATTCATCCGCAATGGCAGCCGGAGTATTTCGGAGATGCGATTATAGTGAATGGCAAGGCTTGGCCTTACTTGAAAGTCAAACCTAGGAAATATAGGTTTCGCATAATCAACGCTTCCAATGCTCGGTTCTACCGTTTGGCGTTGACTAAACACTTGTCATTCATCCAGGTGGGATCAGACGCATCGTACTTACCTACTCCAATCTACACCCGGCATATCCTATTGGCTCCTTCCGAGATTGCTGACGTCATCGTTGACTTTTCCAAGTTGAAGATCGGCGACGAGTGTTTGTTGACAAATGATGCAAAATACCCTTACCCAACTGGAGATAAGGTGGATGAATTGAATAGTAAGATCTTGAAATTCAAGATCGAATCGGACTATCATGATCATGAAGAGGATTATTCGCAGGTCCCGAAAAAGCTAGCCTCGTATCCGAAGGCTAGTACACAAGAGGCTACAAAATTAAGATACATTTCCCTAGTCGAATACGAAAGTGCTACAACGGATGACCCGATACGACTGTTGATAAATGGTAAGAAGTTTGGAGAACCGGCGACCGAAACGCCGAAAACCGGTAGCACGGAGGTTTGGGAGGTGATAAATTTAACTGAAGATAATCATCCTTTTCATATTCATCTAGGGAAATTCCAGGCCATCAAAATCCAAAAATTGATCCATCCTAAAGAATTTACGGCGTGCATGGTGAACAAGACAAATTTCGACGCAGTTGCATGCAACTTGGCCGGCCATGCAAAGGGCAAGCTCTTTCCGGTGCCGGCGTACGAGAAGACGTGGAAAAATGTGGTGAAAATGAAGCCTGGATACGTTACAACAATAGTGGTGAAGTTTAATTTGGTGGAGAACAATGCTCCTTATCCGTTTGATGCCACAGCAGAACCTGGTTACGTCTACCATTGCCATGTATGTGCTTTTTCTTTTATTTATTTATTTTTTAATAAGTGTTCAGCTGCATTTTTGTTTTGTGCTAGAGTCGGAATTCATGAATTTTTGTTTTCCCTTTTTTCTTACAGATTTTGGATCACGAAGACAATGTTATGGTTCGGCCTCTGAAGTTGGTTGCGTGATGCATAAGTTATGTTTTGACGGTGGTACAAAATATGAATATATGATCTCTTTGTCCCACTTTAATAATTCATTTTATTAAACTGAAACAATATCACAAACAAAGTTATTAGAATGCAACAAATTAAATTAATGCAATATAAAGAAATGGGAAGAACGGTATGCATGGAGCAAACCATGGCTATTGAGCGAAAAAGCCTATAGCAGATCGTAGATGCGCTATGTGTCTTAGAAAAGTAATACTCTCTCGTCATTATTGTAAAACAATTTTTTTTTACAATTTATTTATCATATTTTTGTAATTTAAAAAATCTTAAAAATACTTTATAATAATCGGGAGAATAACATAAATGAGAAAAAATATTTTTCATATTTTATTTTCAATTGAAAGATCACAATAAATGAAAATTAGAAAAATCTAAAATATCTTATAAGAAGAACTAAATGGAGTATCATATATTAAAATAAACAATATAACAGAGTAGGATATTTATCCAGGAACTGACATCTTTCATGCGATAGTTAAAAACAATTTGTTCAAAAAATATAGAAGTTTAGGGTTTTTTTTTTTTTGGTAGAGTTGCCCTCTTGCTAAAAATGACTGATTTGAAATGTCTTGAAGCTAACTACTGAACAAAAATAATAAAATTCAAACAGATAAGAAAACCGTTTAGGACGTGATTGGCTCCTAGCAAGTATTCTTGATATGACAAATAATGGAGGTCATGGGGAAACATTGTTACCGAATATATTTTGTGCGTAGTTATTTCCTTGTTCAAAGATATTAACTCCGTTCCAAAAAATTAGTCCATATTAAATTTTTAAATTTGTACTAAAACTAGTACAAATCTTAAAACTCAATGTGAATTTATTTTTGGGACCGAGAGCGTAATATTTTTCTTTTCTTATGTGTCTGTGTGGATAAGACCGAGATGGATTCGTTTCTTGTTCACAATAATATTGTATCGTTTCACTTTCCCCCACACCCACGCCCCGCAATCCCTTAAGCCGCCGTCATGTTTTATTACGTATTGGTTTTGTCTTCGAAAACAACTTGAAATTGAATTTTAAATTTGTAATATAGATAATATAAATTTTAAAACTCAATATGAACTATTTTTATAAGACAAAGGCATATAAATAATTTTTTAAGCCTTTTTTCTTTTGTTTATGCTAATGAAAATCCAGTTTCATGTTCGGTGCTTAATGTTTATTTTTTCTCATTCGTACGGAATCCAGATCTTCTAGATTGTAATTGTTTTATTAGGTAGGCAGAACCTGTAACTAATTAAGAATAATTACCAGATGAATAATGTTGAGAATATAATCTTGTCCCACATGGATAGATGGAGACTATTGAAATCAATATATAACCACATGTGTTACTCTGCTTATTACCAATTGGTTTTAAGGTGAAACCACATGTGAGCCTATATTTGGGTCTTCAAGATGGTATCAGAGCGGGTTTTATCTGCGGACCTGTGTGACTTGTGGGACGGGTTTTGACTAACCCGACAGTTATATCCGGGGTCTCATTAACTTACCCATTTGGGCCTTCTACTTACCCAAATTTGGGCCTTTAATTTCTACTTCTTCTACTTACCCAAATCTGGGTCTTCCACTTCTACTTCTTCGACTTACCCAGTTATATATGGGCCTTTACTGATCCGACAGTTTATCCGATTTGTCCAATCCCTTAGGGCTTGAGAGGGGGGTGTTGAGAATATAATCTTGTCCCACATGGATAGACGGAAACTCTTGAATGACCAAGGAGAACAAGGCCAATGTCAACAATGTGACGAATTTTGCGTTCAGAAGTCCCATCCTGCTCATGAGTGTGAGGGCACATTAAACGATGAACAATATTTGCATCCTTAAAAAACGAATTCAGAGGACAAAATTCACCACTCCAATCATAGTTGACACTTTTAATAGTAGTGCCAAATTGATTTTCTACGAGAGTTTTGAACTGCTTAAAAACATGAAAAACATCACTTTTATGCTTAATGGGATAAATCCATGAGAATAAAAAAAAATCATCAATAAAAAGTACAAAGTAGCGATAGCCATTAAAGGACAAAATAGGAGAAGGACCCCAAACATCAATGTGGATTAAATTAAGAGGTTTAGAACTTTGACGAAATGTAGAAGGTAAACTAACTCTACACAACTTTTCTAGACAACACGCCTCACATTTATCAGTAGACGTGGACATAGAGGAATGAGGGAGTTGAAACTGCTTAACCAAAGCACGAAGAGTGACATTATTAGGGTGCCCTAAACGAGCATGCCATTGACCCAAGGAAAAGAGATAAGCTGCTGGAGATAAGGAACCATGAGTAGGTAGATCCAACCGATAGAGGCCATTATCAGCGCTACCTTGGAAGAGAAGTTCCTTGGTTGATAGATCTTTAACACAACAAGAGTCAGAATAAAATTCAAAGAAACAGTGATTATTCCGTGTGAATTGTTGAACAGACAATAAAGATTTAGTGAGATTAGAGGCATGCAGGACACGATTTAAATAAAGAGGACGAGAAAATGATGGCAAAATAGATTGACCAACATGCTTAATAGGTAAAGCAACATCATTACCAATTAAAATATGATCTGTACCAGTATAATCATTAACGATGTTGAGAGACGACAAATCTGGTGTAGCATGAGCGGTAGCACCAGTGTCAGGATGCCATGGATTAGGAAGAGTATACTGGACCATATGTGGTTAAGCATGTGCACGTGGTGGTAACGAACAGAGACTATCAGAAGTAGTGGTGTTGCGAAGAGGGAAATTGGAGTCAAAGCGGCGGTAACATGTAAAGGCGGTGTGATTAGGAACATGAAATATCTAACAAACTGTTACTGGTGTATGAGCAGGGAAATTTGAGTTAAAGCGCCAAGAACATGTAAATGCGGTATGATTGGGAATATGACATATCTGACAAACAATTTTGGGAGGTGCTACAAGATAAGAAGGAGAAATCATTTTTTTTGCTTTTTTTTTTCTTATTACCAATTGGTTTTAAGGTGAAACCATATGTAAGCCTATATTTGGGCCTTCAAGAGGTAAAAACCCAACAACTCTTACTTGAAGAATATCATTGGTAGTGAAGATAGAAGACTAGAGTAAATATAACACTAGGCAAAACATATAAACAAGGGTAATTATACAAAAGGTTGGTAACTCAAATCCACTTTATCAAAAGACTTAGCATCGATCCTCTCATTTCCCTCTTTTAATCCAATCACAAAGGAACATTCTCATCTATATATTTTAAAGTCTCTAATTCTATGTCGTCTGCCAAAGGATTCTCGCTGAGAATAGAAATAAACTACTACAACGGTAAAAGTAAACGTCATTGGATGACGAATTTTTTATTTTTTTTTAAACACAATTTTTTAAATAATAAGGAAAAAATAGGGCAGTGGATATGCTAAACCCTATATCAAGTACAATTTTAGACTTAAAATTTGCATTCTTTTTTAATCTAGCTGATTTCGAGCGATTGTGATATGTCAGAGCAGAAATTTTACTATAAAAGACTCTCGTTCCAATTCTCGTTCTGTGTCAAATTCTTCGTCATCCGAATCCTTATAGATTTGAGTTTGTTCACCCTCGGAATGAATTTGATCGATTGAGAAACCTGTTTTTGACGATTCTATATGCTTCTCTACCTCCGGATCTTCTTTGGATAAGTATTGACTGTGATTTGTTCCTGTGATTGGGCCGAAAATTGGTAACAAAACTTGGAGAAGAGGTATTTGTGAGCTAGATGGATAGGAGAATTCCGCAGCAGCGGGATTTAGTTTTTTTGTGCAACTTTTTCGAGAGCTATTTTCAGAAAAATTCCCTTCATTATTAGAAGGAGAGCTATTAAAGAGGCATTTGAGGAAGATATTCCTTCCTTATTTGAGGGATAAGATTGTGGTGTTGAAGATTCCGTTTTTGACTTTTTCACGTTAGAAATTTGAAGACCCTGAGGAGAGCTTGTTGACTGTGCAATAGGGGCAAAAATCTCGGGAGTCAGTTGAGCAGAAGATGGACGCAAAATCTGCGACTCTCGTTGAGCTTCCCCTTCCAGAAATTCCCTCTGCAAATCACGCCAGACATCCCCTTCCGGTGGCATAGTCGTCGGAGTTGATGATGGAGTAGAAAGTGCTTGACGTTTATCCATGGCAACAACAATTTCAACATAAGCAATTGAATCTCGCTGGTTAGGGTTAGAGATGGTGTGCGCAACAACAACGTCTTCCGCAGCGACTAGATTCGAAGAGGGTATTGAATGGCGATTCTCCACGACAGGAGCGACATCAGCAGAGATTCGCTGATCTACAGTACTAGCGACATCAGCAACAACAATAGCTTGCGCTACCGTGTCCAGTGGTGGTGCGATTTCTTCAGCAACGATCATGTCCAGTGATGCCGCGACTTCTTCAGCAGCAACAGTAGCTTGCGCTACCTTGTCCTCCACCTGCGAGAGTTTTCCTGTGACGACTTCAATAATTTGCAATTCTGATGGCTCCGTTTCAGCTTCGGCTGTAGAAGAAACCAGCAGTGGCGCGGCTGCTAGCGGTGGCGCAACTTGATGGGGCGTCACTGTCAGACCTGATGTCGATTCTCTAACATTTGGCAGGGGATCTCCAACAGCAGCAACAACTTGGGAAGGGGTTGGATTTGGCGGTGATAGCGTTGTTCCTTGCTTCCCCTGAGCTTGTTCTTTTGATTGAAGCTTCGTAGACCGCGGATCTAGCTTTGTGATGTTAATGCCTTTGTATTGTGTCGACAAGATTTGATGTCATGACCAATCCTTTTACAATCAACACAATATAGAGGCAAATTCTCATAGAGGACTGATTGAAAATAGAATTTCCCTTCTACACCCAATCGGATTCGGATGGGATGATCCTTAAGAAGGTCAATCTCAACACAACCCCATGCCACCGAAGGTCGTGATATATTAAGGGTTGGGACGTCAATTTGGAGGAGAGTTCCAATGATATTAGCAAGCTTCCACAAATATTCTTTATTAAAGCGATTGATGGAGAGACCTTCAAAGGAAATTCAAATCGGGACTATGGAGGTTTTATGTATTGGAATGAAGTCCATGGTCCATTTGAGAACTCACATCCGGTGCTTGTCAAAGATCCATAGACCTTTTAACCAGCAGCGATGATAATCCTCCTCAAGGTCGAAGCAGATGAGGACATGTTGGTGATCGATTAATCCTAGTGAGAAATCTCCTTTGAAACCAATAGTTTGGAACTCTTTCCGCAAATAATCCATTTTCGGACGGCCTTTGTTAAATTTACTGACGAGGACAAGTTGAAAGGGGGCTGCCAATCTTTCATCTTCTTATTTGGTAAGAAGAAATGTTGGCTCTCCTTTAAAGAAAGTTGGTTCTGATTAAATCACTATTGGGTTAAGGGGTTTTTTTTGCCAAGTGATTATGTATAGTTTTTGGATTTAGTCCTAAGACTTGTGTGAATGAAGGTCGTTGAGGAGTGTGAGTTGGTGGTGTAGGGCCTATGGCCGGCGGCTGATTGCCAACCATAGGAGAAGGAGAAAGGAAGCTTAGGAAGCTTGAGAGAAGGAGGAGAACGGTGTACTTTAAATAATCTTTCTACAATCATTGGATGATGAATAATAATAATAATAATAACAATAATAATAATAATAATAATAATAATAATAATAAGAGTGAACCTCAAAACGGGTCATTGAACTATTTGGTAATTATAATACAAGTTATCAATCAAATTTATTTGTACAACAGGTCATTATACTAAGCAAAAAATTCATCCGAGATCATTCTGTTAATTTTTGCCGTTAAATAGTGACGGAAATCAATTTTTCACATGCTTTTGGATTCAGGGATATTTTTTTTTCATTTTTATATTTTTAAATTTTTAATCTTTAATTTTTTTTATTTTTTAACAATTCTTCTTCTTATACTTCCTAACTTGTATATACTGGTAGTATAATTTAAATTTCAAAAATTAATTTTACTTTTGTATTTTAACTTCTAAATTATAAAATTTAAAAATAATTTAAGAAATGAAGAAGAAAAATTCGAGTTAAAGTAAACCTAAAAATTAATAGTTTACCATTTTAAAATAAAAGAAAAACTAAAAGAATTAGCTAAGACAAGTTGTTTTTTCTAGGTTATTTAATTTTTCAACTCGATTGAATTATTTAATTATTGATTTTCACGTTAATTTAAATTTGAATTTTATACATTTCTTCTTATTCTTTTTTTTTTTTATAATCTAGAAGTTAAGATACAAATGACAAATTAATTTTTGAAATTTAATAATGATACTAGTACTAACATATACAAGTTAGGAAGTAAAAGAAGAAGAATTGTAAAAAAAAATTAATTAAAATACTAATATTTTTTTTTAAAAAATGAATTGATGAAATTGCCCCTAGACCCAAAAGCATGTGAAAAATAGTTTTCTGTCATGATTTAACACTAAAAAATAACCTAGCGGAAACAACTTTTCTTAGCTGAAAGCTATTTTGAACGTTAAATTGTAACGAAAAACTATTTTTCGCATGTTTTTGGGTCTATGGGTAATTCTATATTTTTCTTTAAATATATTAACATTTTAAATTTTTTTTAACAATTCTTCTTTTTTTTTACTTCCTAACTTGTATACGTTGGTATTATAATAATTATTAAATTTCAAAATTTAATTTGTCATTTGTATTTTAACTTCTAGTTTAAAAAAAAAATAAAGAAGACAAATTCAAATTGAAATAAACGTGAAAATTAATAATTAAATAATTAGATCGAGTTAAAAATAATTAAATAACCTAGAAGAAACAACTTGTCTTAGCTAATTTTTTAGTTTTTCTTTTTTGTTTTAAAACAATAAACTATTATTTATTATGTTTATTTAAACTCGAATTCTTCTTCTTCATTTTTTTAATTTTTTTTTTAAAATTTATAACGTAGAAGTTAAAATACAAAAGTTAAATTAATTTTTGAAATTTAGAAATTATATTACCAGCATATACAAGTTAGAAAGTATAAGAAGAAGAATTGTAAAAAAATAAAAATAATGATAATAATTTTTTTCAAAAAAATAAAAAATGACAAAAATACCCTTGAACCCAAAAGCATGTGAAAAATAGATTTTTGTCATTATTTAACGGTCAAAATTAACAGAATGATCTCGGATGAATTTTTTTTCTTAGTATGGTAACCTGTTATACAAACAAATAAATTTAATTGATAATTTGTATTAGAAATACCTAATAGTTCAATGATCCATTTTGAGGTTCACTCTAATAATAATGCCTATTGAATGAATGAATAGTTAATTAATTAGTTGATAAGAAGACCTCAGGAAACTTAATTGATGTGAATCATTTCGAGAGAAATTGTTTTTTGGCTTGATATCGGCAACAAACTCCAAGAAACTCCAAAGAGAACGCAGAAGAGAGCCAACATGACATCACAATATAATGTTATTATATTTCTTTCATCTACAAATGATAGTTTTGTAAATTATTTAATAAATGAAACTTTTTATTTTTTAATGATGGAAGGAGTAGAATCCAAAATCAAGGAAACAAATTCCCTAGAATATGAGTAAAGTCATTGGGTATTCAAATCACTAACTCAAATTAGAGGTTTTAACCACGCACGCATTGGATTCAGTTTATTTTGACTTTTAACTTGAGCCATGCACGCATTGGATTCAGTTAATTTTGACTCCTTTATTCCCTAATAAACTTATACTCGAGTGATATTCAAAAATCTTTAGCTATAGTTAAAACGTTTTCAACATACTATAGAAATTGAAGTAATGAAAAGCACCAAAAGTTCTATACATTGTATCTGATTAGGTTAATAATTTTAGATCTGAAATATGATACATCCATCTTCGTTCGTAATCGTAGGGGACATATTTCCTCTATGTTATGGGTTTTAGTGTCCTATGGTTGTGTTCCTAAGATTAGATCTAGTTCTAAAATTTGCAACCTATTATTTCAAGTTCTGCTTTTAAAAAACTACATAGGTATTATGTTTGATGCTTGTTGATGTGTCATAACAACCAAGAGCAAAATAATCATTAGCAAAATATAGGCAAATGTAAATTATCCAAAAGTTGATGATTCAAATTCACACAATATCAGGATACTTTTAATATCAATCCTCCCATTTCCCATCCCTTATTCTAATGACAAAGGAAAAACTTTTTCCCACATATTATTTTAAAGCCTCTCAAACTCAATGTCTTCTGCCGAATGGTTCTTGCTGAGCATAAAAATAAACAACCGCAACTGACGGTCCGAGGTTAAATTGGTGTGCAAATCCACGAGTGTAGAAATGAGCACGAGACAACGGTGGCACAAAAGAAATGTGCCAGAATTTCCTTCTCTACAAAAGGAATACAAACCATTTACATCATTAACATTATGCAAATTTGAAGGACTAGTAATTGATGATCTTTTACCCTACTAATGCATAATCTGATGATAATATATCTAATCAAGACATGAATAAAGTAACTAAATAAAAGAAAACCATATTAGCTGAAAAAAAATGTCCTCAAACTTTAATAAATAATTACCTCGAAGTTGTAAGCGAATGTCTATTATAAATTTTTTATGGCTTCCTTAAACAACATATATTTCTTTAAAGAAAATGAAGTAATTGATTATAGTTTCAGAATATATAGCTTTAAATGCGTTCCACTTGTTGATAATGACCAAGAACATAAGAAACGTAAAACATGTAACTAATGATTATTCTAGCTGTCAATGAAAAGTTTATCAATCATAGGATATGATAACATTCCAAAGTTTCTCTTAAGCTACTTTTACTTTTAAGAACTCTTTTTCGGTGCATAACAAAACAAATAAAAAAACACAGCCAATGTAATTTGTTTCAAAAATAAGTTTCTTAGATACACATTTCAAATTTGATAATTTCTTTGACTGGAAAAGTGTTTGAAATTGCGTATTTTAGCCATATATGGGAAAAAAAAGTTATACTTCATGCACATGCACGCTGGAGATATTTGGACAAAGAAGTTGCTGGTGTTATCGTTTGATACGAGGCGCTAATAATAACACAAATTATATTTTGCTATCAACTAAATGATTATGAAAAAACATACCTTCAGAAAGAGTACCGCAACCAGGAATATCAGTTACAATCCTGATATATATACCCAAAAATAAAATTCATTTAGAAATAATAAAAATAATATTTCTCCCACCCCTCAAAAACAATAGAACTCCCTTATATTATAACATTTTAATGTAGCAAACATAAATAGTTTTGTTGGAAAAAAATGTAACAAAAAAGATATAGAATCAATAAAAGGCGCTTACCAATGTACCCACTGTCTGAGGTTAGGTTCACTGGGACTCGGCGCATCAGGATCAGTCATCACCTATTCATACAACACGATATCGGATAAAAAAGATTTGGTAGCTAGTGAACATTTTAGGCATCCAGTAACATACAGTAAACGTAATTGACGTAGTAGATCTTATATCTCTTTCTATCCATGAAAAATTAGTCCAAGACAGAAGGAGTACGAGGGAAATAAACAATAAGCAAGCATGATGATGAAAAATAAAAAAATAAAAAAGAAAAAAAATTAAAACTTACTAGGGTATAAGATAGATTCGGATCTCCGTGGATGTTGACCCGAAAAGTTGTAACTGCCAAAGATGGCTTGATATCACTCACATTTATAACTTGTTTATCCCCGATATAAATGGCCATGTTAACGCTTGGTATAAACATGTCTACTACATCGTTAATAACTCTTCCCACTACTACAAATGGATCAACATTTGATGCCATTGGAGAAGGAAAAATTCACAAAGTAAAAAAGTAATGAAAGAAGAAAGCTTTTGAAAGGAGAAAAGCGAAAGAAAGATTAATGTAGCAAATGTAGTCAAGGGAAAGTGGTACCAGAAGGAGAAGGAAAACAAATCATGGCAAGTTGTTGACTCGGGATGCGACCAAAACAGCATGCAGAAGGAAATGAAAAAAAAACTAATTATTAACATGTGTAAGACTTCACCGAACGAATAAGATAATCACCATTCAACAAATTTTAACATTTGTACAATGTTCCTGCCACGCGTTCAGGAAATAAAAGATTTGCTATACGTTTCAAAAGAAAAAAGAAAAAAAAAATCAGGTCATGTGGACCAATGAGATATTTTTAGCCCATAAACATGCAAGCAAACAAAATGTATGAATGGTAAGTACATAAATTGATGCAAGAAGTTAAAATAGGACTCCTGACAAATCGATCTTCCTTTTTATAATAGGTTTTTGATTCTGTTGTGGCAGGATATATTTATACACCAGAGTCATTTCCGGTGTTGGAAGATTAGCTTGCAGGTATCATGTATTGATTGATCATTGCAATTAGTGAAATTGCTATAAGGTATAAGTTTACAGATTTCATTTTAGATTTATAAATTTTAAATAATAATGTTAGCTTCTTATTGACATGTATACATTGGTGCATGAGAGACTTGAATTCAAATATTCATAATAGTAGATGCAGACTGTAGACAACAACCTAGTTGTTCAATTTCTCCTATAATAAATTTGCTATTTTTCATTAGTTGTGCAGTTGTTCAAAAAAAGAAAAAATAATAATAATAAAAAAAAGTTCTTGTATGTGTGTGTTAGATGGTACACAACATCAAAGGTTTCAAGCTGAGATGTCATTTGTATGCTAAAATCAAATGGGAAAAAAAATTATGTTTTACTATTTTGAATAAAAAAAAAGTTCTGAAAATACAATAAAATCATGTACTATGTTTTGTACTCACACTTTGTTTACTACTAGAGAAATAAAATTTTTTAGATTTATCGTTCATCTTTTGTGACTTTATATTAAATTATAGTAAACTACGGTGTATTAAATAAACTGACCAAGTAGAATTGAAAAAATATGATTGGGTTCTTTTATCGGAAAACTATGTGCTTATTTTTAATTTTTCATCAATAAAGTAAGGGGCCATTATTTTTTTTTAAAAAAAATTAAGCTCACAAATTGTGTATGAAGAGATACCATTGAAGTTTAACTAATTCAATTCACACAAGAAAGTAAAACTTTCTCAAGTCGTTAAAAAAAAAGAATAAAATTAAATACTGTAATAATTAACATCTCTCCAAAAACTATTTAATTAAAAATATATATTGAAATATACCATTAAATAATAAACCATGTACAAATGTAACAAAACTCCTCGAACAGAAATAAACTGTCGAAAATTACTTCTAAGATATCTTCTCTAGCCTCCAACGTATTAATGTTTGCTAGCTCATCAATTGTTTGTGTGAAGATCACATGATTTGGGTCTTACGCGCATTCTTCTAAATCCCATGGATCACTAGCTAGGAGTATAGAATAACTCCATATGTCCACAAAAATGTAATACCTCATATTTTCCATCCTTCTATGATGTCGATCGTTTGAAGTACTCCCTTGGGGCCTAAATATATTTCATAATGTATTATTAAGATTGTTAAGATATTTGTTTCGTCCTAGGTTTCACCTAATATGTATGTTAAATTGATAAATTTTTTTTAAAAAATATTTCATAATGTATTATTAAGATTTTTGTGTCAATCAAAAATATATAAGAATCAAAATATCTTATATATGGAAAACAAGGAATCAACAGTTCCACGAAGGAAAACATGCACCAGCGGAGGGGATTTTTGAAGACATCATATAACAGCTTTAATCATTAATAGAGTAGCCTTCAGTTCTAGTTTTGAGTCGTTTTGGTCCCTATTTTGTGAAAAGCTATGCATAGGTAAACAGTTATTTTGTACAGAGTGACTGTGATATTGAACATTACAAAGGCAATACAAATTCACATTTTACCTAAAAAAAAAGAGTACTTCTTAACTTCTTTTTCATACTCTATTATAACTTAACATTCCAACAAAAGAGATGGTTCCATTAGCAAAAAAAATCTTCCCAAATCGCGTCTTTAAGATGCGCTTATCTGATGTTATGAAAAAAATCCTTTTGCTTCTGCGATTACTATTATTATTATTTGGTGTTACCCTCACAAACTTCACAATGAGTTCTTAACTTGAGTGACACGCACCGCATTAGATTAGGATTAGATGCGAAATAATGCGTCATTTTAGTCCGTAAGATTTTTTTGTATATTATTTTTTTTAAGTTCCAATTAGTTACAGTAAACTTCCCTAAAAGAATTGTGAATTTCAAATTTTACAACTCGCTTAATATGCATGGCTGATATAATTTGGGAAAATGTGTAGGATATATATATTTTTTGAATTAATATCATAACATATATGTTTGTGTTTCTTCTATATGTTTCGTCAGGGGCTCAAATAATTCTAAGGAAAAAGTAAATTGTTAATTTAAATGGTTCACAACTTCAAACCACCTTTATTCGAATACTAAGGAAAATCAAATGGTCCATTGTTTAGTGATGAATTCTGGTCTTTGAACGAAGTGAATATAGAAAAAAAAAAAAAATCCTTGGCTGCGGAATTCACTTGGAGGATTCTCACTTTTCAGTGAAGAAAACCACTTGGGGTCATGCAAACAATGTTCCATTTTATGGCATGTCCAGGAAGGGACACAAGCAATGTTAAAAATGTTCTTGATACTTTTATGCAATATATAAAACCTCTTATGGGGAAATTTTGATGGCCTGCATAAAGGATTTCTGTACGGTATAGTTTTTTTTTTCAACAGAAATTTATTACGAAAAAACACACACACACACACATATAGCAATCAAACACACACTCTTTCTGAAGAAAGCCAGCAGACCACGCAAAAAAGAAGCGACATATTTATTCCTTGGTGGCGGAAGAGGGCAGATAAACCCTACGTCATTGTAAAAGGAGCAACCCGGGTGTTCCCGATGTATGTGGGTTTGATTGCTGCTCTTACCGTTGCCGATGAATTTTGATATTGGGCCGGGCTTCCGACTTAATTGCCACCATTCCACCGGCGCATAATCTGTTTCAGCTTAAACCTAATATAATGTATCCATATAGTATACACGTGGCGTGTATTTTGTCTTGTACATAATGGGGATAGTCACGTTTAAGCATTTGCATATGTTGGCAGTTTGTATACGGTTGATTTAGCAAAATATTGTATCTTTACGCGTAATTAACTTGTCTGATGCAATGCAAAATGTTTAGATTTCAGAACTTTTTCTCTCTTCAAAAGTAGTTTCTCTGTACAAAACTAAGAACCCTAATAACTTTCCAGCTCAAAGATGGTACCAGAGAATGAATAATCCTGCTTGATTACTGAATTCTTGAACCGTCGAACATTTCCGTATAATCTATGTAATTGATGGACTTCTTATTGGGATTCTCTTGACCTAGGAATTCGATCATCCAATTCACCATAATTTGAGAACCGTCGAAAGCTGAATGTATTGGTGGCACTGACATGGATGTTATCCGACACTAGGTCAAACATCGCATGATTGATTGTGAGCCGGATTTAGTTAGCTCTGTTGAATTTAGTATAACCTTTTAGCATAAGTCCATATACGATTCAACGGGAATATTCTAATAATAATAATAATAATAATAATAATAATAATAATAATAATATAATAATAATAATAATAATAATATAATAATAATAATAATAATAATAAGGACAAAACGCACTTTTGGTCCATTAACTTAGGGGGGTCACAACTTTTGGTCACTATTAAGTTTTTTCTGACAAAATTAGTCACAAGTTTTTCGTTTATTCATCATCATTGATCCACTTAACGGAAAATTTTAAAACTAACGATCAAATTTGGTCAAACATTAATTTTTTATTTTTTAATTAATTTTTTAAGTTGTGGAACCTACTTACATTTGACTTTTAAAAAAAGACAAAAAAGAAAAAATTAATATCTTTTTGTTTCTTCCCGCCACCTCACCTCCTTGCCGCCGTCGTTGCTGCCGCCCCAAACATAATTCAGAATTGGTAGTTATACCAAGAATATTTCTAATCACCAAATGAGAGAAATTTTAATAAAATACACCACTAAAAGTTGAAAAGTTGAAGAGAGTAAAACTGTAAAAGATAGGAAGTGCTATTTGTTGTAGCATCAAGAAAAATCAATGATCATGTACCTATTTTGTACCAAGAACATATTGTTACTCTCTGTTAAGAATAAAAAAACTATGTTAACTACAGTGTTAACGATATTATTAAGGATGTTAGTTATATGTTCTCTGTGAAGGTGAACAAATCAAGAATCAAAACTATTTATAGATGATCACACTGAAGACGATATTAGTTATCTGTTCATAATGAAAACATTTAGTGGTAATTTATTTCATATTTTAGATTAATTTCTTATTATATACTTTATCATATATAAATATGAAATTATTATATATTTTAAGGTTTTATTTTGATTAAAAAAACATACTAAATGAAATTTAAGATAAATCAAAATGCATCATAACAAGGACCAAAGGGAGTAGTTTTTTACGCCAACCAAATTGAGCTATTTTTGCCTATGGATGTATACGGGTGAAATACGATAATTTTAGATAAAAACACATGCCAGTTTTCCTTAAAAACATGAGTAAAAAGGCATATTATTTTAAAAAATAAAATTTCTCATACACTCTCTATTTAGGCACGTGAGTTGCACGCGCTCGTGCTGAACTTGTGGAATTACTTTAATTACCAATTAGGCTCACTGGGACTTGGCGCATCAAGATCAATCATCTTATTCACACAGCATGATATCAGATAAAAAAGATTTTATAGCTAGTGACATTTTAGACATCCAATAACATACAGTAAACAAAATTGT